AGAAAAAGGCATGTATCAATATTAAAAATCAAGATGACAAGTGTTTTAAATATTCTATTGAGTGTGGATATTGTAAAATTTGTGATAAAGCACACCCTGAAAAGATGTTTCATTACAAGAAGATAGCAAGTGATTTGATTTTTGATGGTGTGAGTTTTCCTGCTAATAATAATGATATAGATATATTTGAAGAAAATAATAAATCAATATCCATTAATGTTTATGAAATTGATGATAATGAACAAATTGTTATTAGTAGAAAATTGAAAAATAAAGATGCTTCTTTTCATCTTGATTTATTAAGAGTTGATGATGAGGATTGCAGTCATTATGTGTATATAAAAAGTTTGAGCAGACTTATTAATAATCAAAAAAGTAATCATAATGGTAAGTCCTATTTTTGTAAATATTGTAATCATGGATTTAGAAATGAAGAATTATTAAATAAACATTATGATAGTGGATGCATGGAAGTTGAAGGACAACAAATAGTAATGCCTAAGCCTTATGAGAAAGTTAGTTTTAAGCATCACTTCAAAAAGTTAAGGTGTCCTTTTGTTGTATATGCTGATTTTGAATGTTTGACAGAGGAACTGAAAAAACCTGATGAAGATGAAGATAAAAACACTTTTTCTTATCAAGAGCATAAACCATGTGGTTTTATGCTTAATATGGTTAATGCTGTTGATAATACAAATTATGAATTTATGTATCGTGGTAAAGATGCTGTTGATGTGTTTTGTCAAAAACTTAATGAGATTAGGGCAGAAGTAAAGGAGAAGATGGGAGAAAACGAAAAAATAGACATGACTGATGAAGACAAAGAAGATTTTAAAAATGCTAAAAACTGCTTTATTTGTGGGGATAAGTTTAGAATGAACTATAAGAATGCCAAGGAAGCAGAGAAATATAGAAAAGTTAGAGACCATTGTCATTTTACAGGTAAGTATAGAGGTTGTGCTCATAATGTTTGCAATCTTAATTTTTGTAATAGATATTTTAAAATTCCAGTATTCTTTCATAACATGAAAAATTATGACGGTCATTTAATTATTCAAAATGCGGATAAATTAAGTAACAACAATAAAATAGGTGTCATCGCTCAGAACAGTGAAAAATTTATTAATATCAGTTTTGAAAGTTTGAGTGTTAAAGACACTTTTGGGTTTTTAACTGCTTCATTAGATAAGTTAGTTTCAATGAGTAAGTATGACAATACAGATGAAGAAGATAAAAGTAAATGGTTATTGCGTGAAAACTGGAAAGATAATTTTAGGTTCAGTAGTAAAAATGATGTGATTAAGAGTGAGAAATGTCTAGATTTGCTGACTGATAAAGGCGTTTATCCTTATGACTACATGAATTCATTTGATAAATTTGATGATGAGCAATTACCGAGTAAGGATGATTTTTATAGTCAGTTGAGTGAAGAAGGTATAAGTGTTAACGACTATGAAAGGGCAAAAATTATATGGAAGCATTTCGACATTAAGAATATGGGTGAATACCATGATTTATATTTGAAAACTGATGTATTATTATTGACTGACATTTTCGAAAATTTTAGAGATGTATGTATGAAATATTATGGATTGGACCCTGCTTATTATTATACATTGCCTAACTTTGCTTTTGATGCTATGCTTAAAATGACTGGTGTAGAGATTGATTTAATATATGACCAAGAAATGTATGAAATGATAGAAGCGGGACTTAGAGGCGGGATGTGTATGGTTTCTACTAAAAAAGTTGAAGCAAATAATAAATACATGGGAGAAGAATATGATAAAAATAAAGAAAGTAGTTATATTAACTATTTTGATGCTAATAATTTGTACGGGTTAAGCATGATACAAAAACTGCCATATAAAAATCTAAAATGGGATGATACATTAAAAGAAGAAGACATTATTAATTACAAAAATAATAATATTGGATATATTCTAGAAGTGGATTTAGAATATCCTAAAGAATTACACGATTTACACAATGACTATCCAATGGCACCTGAGGTTATGAATGTTAAAGCCGACATGCTGTCAGATAAACAAATTGAAATTTATGAATTTTTAAATCATAAAAAACCTACGGATGAGAAAACAAATAAATTAGTATTGAATTTAAATGATAAAGAAAAATATGTAATCCATATAAGAACCTTACAATTTTATTTGAAGCAAGGGTTAAAACTTAAGAAAATTCATAGAGCAATTAAATTTGAACAAAAAGAAGTTTTAAAACCTTACATTGAGTTTAACACTGAGAAGAGGAAGAATGCTAGAAATGATTTTGAGAAAGATGTTTATAAATTGATGAACAATGCCATATTTGGAAAAACAATGGAGGATAAAAGGAAACATTTAGATTTTGAGGTTGTGAGTGATGAAACTAGATATATGAAGTGTGTAAGTAATCCTAACTTCAAACATAGTCATATCATTAATGAAAATTTGGTTGGAGTTGAAAAGCAAAAAACAAAGTTGAAACTAGACAAACCTATATTTATTGGGATGAGTATTTTAGATTTGAGTAAGCAACACATGTATAAATTTTATTATGACGTTATGAAGCCTAAATATGGAGATAATATTAAAATGGTATATACTGATACTGATAGTTTTGTATTTCATACTAAAACCAATGACATTTATGAAGACCTGAATACAATTAAAAAAGAATTAGATTTTTCAGATTATCCTAAGGAACATAAATGTTATGATGAGAATAACAAGAAAGTATTAGGTAAATTTAAGGATGAATTAAAAAGTAAAATAATAACAGGGTTTATAGCTCTTCGTCCTAAATGCTATGCTTACTCAGTTTATGGTGATGATAAAAAATATAAGAAATGTAAGGGCATAGCAAAAGGCACAGTAAGACGTCAAATGAAATATGAAGAGTTTGAGACGGTTTTAAAAACTAATGAGGTTATACATAAGTCATTTAATAGTATTAGAAGTAAAAACCACAGAATTTTTAGTATAACAACTAAAAAAATTGCTCTTAGTAGTTATGAAAACAAAAAATATTGGATAGATAGTGTAAACTCACTTGCTTATGGCCATTATAAAATAAATTCTTTGAAAACGACTTAAAGAAATATTGACTTAATATATTAAGAGGAAAAATGACACTGTTTAATTATAGTAAGTGTGAATGTTGTAATAATAAAAAGAATGATATTAATTTTACATTGTATAACTTATTACCTGCTAATCTGTGTAATAAAATAAGTGAATATGATGTATATTGTAATCAATGCTGTATAACAAGAGACCTTGAAAAGTTGTTTGTTGAAGAATATAAGGATAAGGGATATACAAAGTTTCAATTAAAATTGAAATTCTTTATGAAATATCGCAAAAGATTTCCTGTATATTTTTGTCATAAAATTGATAGAGAGTCATTTGAAAAAGAAATTGATGAGTTTTTTAATAATAAAGATTTAATTAAAAGGTTTGGAGGAGAACTAAGCATTAAACCATATAAATCATTTGCTAAAGAATTTAGTGATTTGTTTGAAGAGATTGATTGGCATTTATTAAGCAAAGATAAAATAAACAAGGTCTTGAATGAATTTAGAATAACTAAATATCATGTATGGTATTACTACAACACTAAATATAAAGTATGTCTATTGCTGTATTTATTCTTTTGGGAATATATTTATTCGATAATAGGAAAAGACAATATCAAATATATAGACATTAATGATATTGATAAATATGTAGATTACATATTTGAAGACATATTGCCTGACTGTTATCTTAAATCCTTAATTCTTAATTGAAATATAATTATCACATGTAAAATATTATATGTTATAATTGTAATATATTTATCGTTTGTAAAGATTGAATTATTATATTTTCTTAATTTTCTTGTGTGCTTTGACTGTTTGGTTTTGTGGAACTATTAGGTGAAATGTGTTTTAGTCATATTTTTAAGTCTGAGTGAAAAATTCGTGAACAATGAATAAGGTAAAAAGAAAAAATGAAGAACAACTGGAGTTTCTGAGAATTGGAAAAAGACTTAAAATATAAAATGAATAAGGGTAAACAAATAGTAAAATGAAATAGGTTAAGTAGTGGAAAAATAATGGATAAGGTGTGTATCTTTTCTAGGAATTACTTAGAATGAATCAGGTTGTGATTTATTAACCTTATCTATTATTTGATACTTGGTTTTTCAATGTGTTTTTCATTGGTTGATAGAAAAAATACAGAAAGGATTTTCAGTTCCTTCAAATCCCCTTTCTGTATTTTTCCCCCTCCCCTCCCTCCCCCCAAGCCCCCATGAACCTCAGGATCTCCTAGGAAACCACCAGTTGGCTGGTTTCTGGGGCTGAGCAAGGTTGAAAGGAGAGCGCCCCCCAAGTCGGATTGGTCAACCATCGGTGCGGTTTAGATGCAGGGAATGAGAGACTTGGAAGTCGACCCCGAGAAAAAAACCATCCAACCGATGTGGTTTCCTTTAAGGGCACCCCCAGGTTCATGCCATTTCACATTCCCACCGTCCAACCGATGCGGTTTCCTTTACAAACCATCCATCCAATTTGGTTGTTTTAGTGGTGGCGTCCTTTACTCGGGAATCCCCACAACCAGTAGTCATTCCATCTCACATGCGCTGCCTGTCGCAACAGCAAGAAAATCACCCGTTGAAAGGGGAGCTGAGAAGAAACCCCGATTCGGATTTCAGAAACCAATCGGAAATGCTCCACCAGCCGCCCAGCGGATTTCGGGCGATTCATTTTGTTGACCTGCAAAAGTTTGCTATATATTCCACTGGATCTGGTCGAAATCCAACTGGATTAAGTGAAGGATCCTACCGCCTAGCCTCCAGGCTGTTCCAACAAAAAAACAGTTCAACCCACCAACAATTGAAGCTGCCCCGTGCTTGAACGGTGGAGCTTCCAATCTTTTCTCACGAAAAAACGGGTCCGAAGATTAAGTGAAGGATCCTACCGCCTAGCCTCCAGGCTGTTCCAACAAAAAAACAGTTCAACCCACCAACAATTGAAGCTGCCCCGTGCTTGAACGGTGGAGCTTCCAATCTTTTCTCACGAAAAAACGGGTCCGAACCCCAAAAAACACCCCAGGTGCCCAGCGCACCCCCCCCCCGGTCGCCCGACATCCCTCGGCTCGCCCGCCCGGAACCCGCCAACTCGACGCCGGGGCGCCACCACCAGCCGCAGCTTGGCCAGGGACTCCTCGTAGCGCGCGAACTGCAGCTCCCCCTGCAGCTGCTGAGACAGGAGCTCCAGCAGCGGCACCTGCGAACAAACCGGAGCCAGGAGCCCGGAGGTCAAGGGCACGGCTCGAGAGTTTTCGGACAAATCGATCTGCGAACGCATAGGACTTGGCCGCGGCGCGGGAGTCGAGCCAGCCACTCTGGATTAAACAGACTGGGGGAACCGGAGCCCTTGGCCGTGGCTCGGGATTGTTTAGGACTGGAAAAGAAACATCACCTCGAAGTGGACCTGGTTGAACCAACACACGAATCCCCGCAAGGATGCGGGTTTTGTGACGCATGTGTTCATCACCTCGAAGCAGTCTTTGCATGAATCCCCACAAATAACCACGGGGCTGGGTCAAAATCATGACATCTTCGCCATCTGAGCCATCGGAAGAACCCGTGGGCCCTGGCCCCTTGCAAGGACCCATCCTGCCTGCATGTCGGCTGACCTGCCGGACGCATTCGGATTCGAGTTGGCCCCGGCACGGCTCTCGGACATCAGAGTCAATATGAGCCGAAAGAGGACACCAAGAGATCAAGAAAGGTGAAGACATGACACAAATGTGACAAGAGGCACCAGTGTGAACAAAATGTGAAAGAAGTGAGCAATTGAGAAGAAAGGAAAAGGCGCGACCAAAGCTGAAAGGAGGTGAAAGGGGGCGTGTGCCAGCCCAATGCAATACATCCAACGACAAGGGATCGCGCCTCGCTTCTTGTCTCAGTGTGTACTGGTACTGCAGAAAATGTGTAATCTTCTGGCCCAAGACGATTGGAATGTTGTTTTGGGCCAGGTAGCACCGCAGGAGCCGGAACTCGGTGTTCTCGTCCTCCTTGATCTTGCTGAGCCCGGCCATCAGGTTGCTCACTGTGCTGATGAGTGTGGAGGACGTGATGAGTGACCTGAAGGCGATGACGATGCAAAAGACCATCTCCAGGCTGTTGGTGGCTTTGGCCGGGCTGGATCCCACGCCCAGCTGGGCGAAGGCCCAGTTCATGCAGGTGAGATACTGGTACTCCGCGGGGTCATTGTGGATCCCAAGGTCCGTCACCCAATTCATCTCGTCCATGTGGCTGGTGGCAAACCAAGCGCACGCGATGAGGTGGTTCAGGACCATCAGCGTCGCGATGCTGTGAAAGAGCCCGTAGTAAAGGCTGGCGGCCTACCATCAAGAGCCAAACCGACCCAGTGTGATCAAGAGTTGCCAGACCGACCGGTGCCCCTGAACTTGCGATCGGTACGTTTTAGATGCAGGGAATCAGAGTTGGAGTCTGACCCCTAGAGAAAACCATCCACCTGATGGTTTCCTTTAAGGGCACCCCCAGGTTAATTCCCAGATTCCCTACCTATCGCACCTGCAACATGTTCACAAGCGCGCACAACTTGACGAGGGTGCTTCCCCCCCACGAGGGTATCTCCACAAAGAACCCAAAACGGCGTCGATTGCCGCGAAATTCGCGCGCCCCCGGTCCCCCGACTCGCCTGGGAGTGGAAGAACTCCTAGGAGGGCGAAAAATCGGCAGTCAGAGGCAGTCCAAGCAAATTGGTTTTTGGACCTTCGGCTTGACAGGGTGGGGCTGCGACCGCCCGTTACGCGCTAAAGCAAGAAGCCGCTCCAAGGAAAACAAAGTTGGGACGTTGTTCAGTTCTCTATCAATACGGCAACTTGGATGGTGGCACGGACGTGAGACGGCAAGCCTACCATGGCCATGTTCCCTGTTCCTGAACGCTCTAAAGCGACCAGGAATGGCTTTCCCTTTGGAAGAAACACCTTTGCGACGCTGGCAGCCATTGAAGTTTGTCAGTTAAGTTCCAGGGGAAGCTTCCCCCGTCTTTCCCAGGATCCTTCTTTCCAGGAAACCATGAAAACCCAGGAGAAACAACTGGCTTTGAAAAAGAGAACGATGGTTGAAAAGAATGAGGCAATCTTCAACCCCCAATTTCTTCCCCCTGTCTTCCTGGGAAACCTGCCGGACTCTGACGGCCATGGGTCAAAACCCCGTACCCCAGTGAACATCCCAATCCCCACTAAAATAGGTACTAAAATGGGTGGTGCACCCACCCAAAATTGGTAGTTACCATTGGTTTTGACCCATAGCCTTCCCGCACGAGAGCAACCACCTTCCTGGAAGATCTCGTTGATGCGGCGCAGCTTCACCCAGCGGAGCATCCGCATGAGCCGCAGGAAGCGGAGCATCCGCAAGCTCTTGGACCACATGATGGACTCCGCTTGCTCCGAGTCCACCATATCCATGATCCTGACAGGAAAGGACCCTCAGACTCCAGAGATCAAGACTTGTCTAAGTTTCTGGACTTTCGGAACTTTTTGCTCTCGGACCATTTTTAATGGCAAAAAGAAAACTTGAAGGTTTGCTGGTGCGAATTCGGTAGAGAAATGGAATGAACCGGTTTGGGGGATTCCCGAAAGAAGGAAACCAGTTGGATGGTCTATAGGGTTCATTCCATGTCTCATTCGCTGCTGAGCACGAGCAAGAAAAGAATACATCAAGGTCTTAAATCGGACGAAGACGTTGATGTTTTCTGGGACTGCTTGGGTATTTCAGGTGGGTTGATGGGGGTAGGAGAGGATGTCTAGTTAAATTTAAGAGTGCGAAGGGAAGTTGAGAGCAGGTGCTTGGGATCATGTTGTCTTCCTTCGACCACTAGAAGGCAGCTGCCAATTTGCAACTGAAAGGACAAATGCTATCCACGCACCGAAGCGCACGCCAAAACTAGGGACCAAAGTTCAGCAGGGCGAAGTCAACGTGTCGCGAACGGTGTCCATTTTTGGGGGGTGTTTCTGGCGCACAACATGGAACTCAAAGGGTCGGGCAAACAGAATGAGAGGCGCAACCCTACAAGTTGAGGCGCCATGGCAGGACGACCTTTCCGGCAGATGCGTGCAGAATCCTGACTAAGACTTCTGAACCACCAGAAGGTCTGAAGCAGAGCAAAGCGACGCTAAGAGGCATCCCCAAGCGATGCCAAGCGATACTTCAGACACGCACTTCCCTAACCACTGCTGAGCGACCCGGTCAATGGCAACTCTTCGAGTAAATGGCTTGACAAACGCACCTCGGACGGACAAATGTGACACACCCCTGCGCTCTGAGCAATACACGTCGACACTCCCCACGGGACGCAGCTCAGTTCCTGGACCCAAGACATGGCAACTCTGGCGCCTTGGTTTTGGGCTGACTTGGGTTTTCATGCAGGCTGGGGGGGGAGGGATTTAGGGCTTCCCTCCCCCTCCCCTCCACCCCCCCCAGCCCCCATGAGGTGTGGGTGTCCTGAAGCACCAGTCCATAGAGATCATGGTCACATCAAAGAGCATCCAGGTCCGCGCATACTGCGCCGCGATGCGGGGCAAGCTCATCACCAGAGCGCCCTCGTCATAGAAGGCGCTGAAGAGCGACACGAAGAAGTCCAGGTTCCAAAAGACTTGGACGGACCTCCAGCTTTCAAAGCCCCTCCTAAGACCCTAAGCCCCTCCTAAGACCCTAAGACCCTCCTAAGACCCTAAGACCCTCCTAGGACCTTCCTAAGACCCTCCTAGGACCCTCATAAGACCCTCATAAGACCCTCCTAAGACCCTCCTAAGCCTCCACGATGTGCATCTTAAGCTTTGCACAAAATACTAGGCTGGAACTAGGACCCCAGCAAAAAATAATGATCTGTTTGGCCTGGTTAGTGGAAAACAAAGGGACCCCCCCCAAAAAAAAACACAAGGGGGGAGCTAATTCTGGGAAGAAAAGTGGCCCCACCCCGTGCATGGAGTGCTGGTCGCTAATGGTCGTCATTTGAAACGTTCTCCAGGCCGCAAAGAGACGCTCCAGGGAAATCTGGCGTTGACCAACCCATATCTACCCTGACAACAGTCAGAATGCTGGACCCAGCCAACTTCCTGCTCTCAGTTGGAGCAGTGATAATTACTTGTTGCCAACCACTCAATGGCTCTCTGAATGCCTCCCTGGCCAACATTCCACAGCACCAACAAAAGGTGAAAAGGCAATCACCGGGTTCCTAAATGAGAAACCGCATGAAACCTCCAGTTCCCGCCCCGTTTCCTCTTCTCGGTCGCTTTCTGCTCCCCTAAAAGTTTAACTTTTAGTGGTTTAATACGGAAAACCCATTGGTTGGCAAGAAGTTATTCAGTCCTAACATCCCTTGGCAAAATGAAAACCAAAGTCTTTGTCTGGAAGCCAGCTCGTCAAGTCCCAGAAGACGTTCTGGGGGAAGGAGAAGGTGTTCAGGGGGATCACCAGCAGGTCGTGCAGCACACACGCCGCCACCATCACGTTCCAGCACGTCTTGAAGCGCCCCCCCGGGTGAAGCACACACCGCCTGAAGCGAAGCAAAGCGAGTGCCGCAAGACACGCGCCTGCCCTCTGCCCGCAGGTGTCAGGGGAAGGTCACATCCCCATTTATCTCGTCTGCAGATGCACTTGCATCTTCGTTTCAAATTGTGTGTCAATATGAAATTTTATACGTGTCTAGATCTCTAGATCTATCTATCTATCTATCTATCTATCTATCTATCTATCTATCTATCTATCTATTCCTTTCTCTTACATCTGTCCTTTCTTCATTGCATTTCTCAGTTATTGATCAATTCCGTCCAAGGTAAGAGAATCCTTAATATAAGATAGAAATGTAAAAGAGAAAAGAGATGGATAAAGAAATGGATGTTAAAAGTTATATACATATCTAAATCTCTAAATCCATCCATCCAACAATCTATGTATCCGTCTATCTATCCATCCATCTACCTATCATCCTACCGAAAGGGGTGATGTCTACACGCCAGCGGCTCCCAAAACCTCGCTCCAGCGTCCTTCGAGGCAGCTCCTCCGCCACAGTCATGACTGGCTGCCTCGGATCCGAGCCAATGGGTTGACCGTTGGGCTTTGCGATTTGGCTGTGGCTTAAAAAACCGGAATTCCAAAATGGGTTGCCCTGGCAAATGGAAACACATGGACCAAAATTCCTGCGGTATGCCCCTCCTGCTTTATTTTGAGCCGCACCCATTTGTTTTGGACATATTCTAATTAATTTGTTGGGGGGGGGAGTTGTTTCGGAAACCACCCTTTTTTTGGCTAGGTCCTCCAGAGAGGTTAGAAGTAGTTGGTACCCGATCCTTTTTCTGTAGTCTATTTTGGTAGGGGAACCCTCCCCCAAAAAAGGGTGAGAAAGGGCACTACTGGGGGACCTAGGCCAGGCATCCCTGTAGTGGGTGATTTGGATTTCTCTCTCTCTCTCTCTCTCTCTGCCGTTGCGTCCAGAGGGTCTTGACTCAGCAACGCAACAAAAAAGGTGCCCACTGATATTCAGGGGCACCAACAACATAGTAGCTTGCATTGATGATTTGGGATTTGAACCCCTTGGTCTTGTAGGGGGAATTTGCATTGCCACCCGGGAAAACACCTCCAAACCACCCCGCTAGAAACCGGTTGGCCTTCAGGCACCCAGACAATCAAAAGCTTCACCGTTGAGGGCCGCGAATGATTAAAAAAAAAAAATGAAGAAGAAAAAAAACGAGGGACCACGAAAAAAAAAAAAGAAAAAGACTGAAACTGGCGCTTTTCTCCTGAGGTCCTGGGCCCCGCGATTTCTCCCCGCTTCTTTCTCGCTTCTCCGGATGTTTTTTGCTCCCAGATCCGTCCCAGATCCGAGGCGCATGGCCTGGGTCTTGGACCTGCCGTCCTCCAGGCTCTTCTTGGCGAAGTGCTTCTGCTGCTTGGCCCGCGCCGCGTCCCAGCGCTCGTGCACCTTCAGGTCCAGCTCCCGCAGGTCGAAGGTCTCGGAGGCGGTGGGCTGCAGGCCCTGGACGTTCAGCAGCGTCTTCAAGGTGCGGTCCTTCCTAGCCCGAAATGGCCCCCGAAATGAAAGCCCGAAATGGCCCGAAGACAAAGTCGCGGCGAGTCTTTGAGCTGAAGCAACGCGAAGGCCCGCAGCTTTGAGTCTTTGAGCTGCTCCAGAGAAGTGAAAAAATGGCCCAGACTTTGGGGCTCAAATTGAAGACCAACAGCTGCGCACTCCCCCAGCGCGAGAGAGGAAACTCAGGACTCGTACAGGGCTTGGGGTGGTGGTGGAGATTTTTTGTTCTTTTTTTCCCCTCCTCCGGCGGTGACGAACCCCCCTTCGAGCTCAAACCTCCCTGGGCGCCTCTGGGCAACGGTCGGGGTCTCGCTGGACTTGGGATTCTCGATGGAAGGAGCCCGCGACGGGGGCTTCAAGGTGTCCTTCTTGTTGCTCTTCGAGGTCCTGTGCCACCGTACCAGCCATCCTTTTTGTTTAACCCGTGCCCAAACTCGCGAGCACGATTTCCCTGGAAAATGAGTTGGGACGTGCATTGGTGATCCTGGCCATGCTAGTCCAGGCTCGTCCGCTTCGTTGATTCGATGCGCAGCGATCAATTCCTGTTTTTGAGGGATGGCAGACCTTTGATGGGTGAAAAGCCCCATCAGCCCAAACGCACGGGGTGATTTTGACCCCGGCACGCATCCAATTCAGGGCCAACCAGTTCGCACGGCCCGCGGCAAGTCGCGCTACTCCCGGCCTAAAATGGGAGTCTATCGAATCCCTGCGGTCTTGCTCGAACAGCATCTCTGGCGGAGAGCATGGGGGCATGGACACGCTGACACGTTTGCCCAGCTTGGCAATGTCCGCCACATAACCTGAGCGCAAACGGCCACGGTCACACGTCACACTTCACACTTCCAGAGAGCGAGACTGGATGCTCAAGATGTACCCTAAACCCTCTACTTACCCAACCAGTGGAGCAGACCCTCAACCTGTGTCTTTCGTCCCCACGGACAAGGCCGACGCAGGTCCTGGCCGATGCGCCCAGGTTCACACGAAATCCACAGGCGCCATATGCTCCCACAAGAAACCTTTTCAAATGGGTCAAATGTTGGTGCACTTGTATATATATATATATATACCTATACACAAATACAAATACACACACACACACACCCACACGCTGGTCCCTTCCTTCGCCTTCTCCCCTGCCAGCGGGTCTCGCTCGCTCTCTCTCTCTGCTTGTCGCGTGGCAGTCCGCCAGCTGGCGATGCAGCTGCCAGAAGCTGCCCTCCTGCTCATTGACGTTGGGTTTGGGGAGCCCAAAAAAAAAAAGTCAGCAGCTAGCTGGATTTGCACTTCAACCACTAAACCACTCAATAAGCAAACAAATGTGGCGAATGGAAATTCTAGCAGTTAGATGGATTTGGATTTCAACCACTAAACCATAAGCGACAAACATGCGTCAAATGTTTCCCAAAAACCATGGCCAGCACTGCCTCCAGCTCCAGGCCCGGCGGCTCCACCTCCTCGTGGTTCGCCCGGCCGCTCATGGCCGGAGGACGCGCGAGCCGCGCACCAGTCGATCGGTCGATGCTTCCGGAGAAGAGGCGGGGAGAACCGGTCGCTCCGCCTCTGAAAACGCGCGGCTGAGGAATGGGGGGGGGGAGTTCTGGCTGTGGGCTTTGGAGTGAGCTGAGCCGAGGGCCGCGTTTGCGCGAATTTTGGTCACACGAAAGCAAAGGCTGAGTCGTGGAATCCAAGAAGCACAAGCTTCAGGGATCTCCTTTGGGACCCTTTCCCTTTCGTCCGTTTCTGGCAATCTGGCCGTCCATCCCGCCCGCGCAACATGGCAAACGACGACACTCTTGGGTCAGAACGACCACGCGAAGATCACTGGGCCGAGCTCGGCTCAGAAGACCGCACTGGCAGGGCGATTGGCGGGGGCGGTCTTCGGACTCAAAAACCATCTTTCATGCGGCCGTGCTAGGGGTGCCCATCCACCTTGAAAACCTGTTAAACACATGTCCTTTCTTCACCTGGCCCTCCAATTGGCGTCAAACCTGGAAGTGTGATCATCTTAAGCCGCTCTTTCGGAGCAAAGCCAGGTCTCGCAGGCGATGTTTCTGAGATGTCACGTCCTTTTCACCAAGCCGCGACGCAACACAGCGTTTGCAAGTCCGAGTTCGGAAACGTGGGAAAGGGTTAAAGTTGAATATTGTGAAGTGCTGGAACATTGGCTGACGCGACATCCAATTAGCAAGCTGGCAGCGCACTGAGAAAGAACTAGCTGTGCCTTGCGACTGCTAGCGGCCTGCCATTTGTGGAATTGGTTCATGCAAATGTACTCAGGAGCCTTCAGACATCTTGATAGCGAAAACTGACAACCCTTTGCCTGGAGGAAGCAAGAATGATAGTGACAATGAAAAGTTCGAGCTGTTCTGTTCCAGATTTGCACGGAATATCTGACACAAGTCCTTGCTGTTCACAAATGTCCAGGATGGACGGCAGGACAAACTCGTTCTTTACCAAAGGACAAGTGCGAAAACGGCAGATCCCCTCCACGGCTCAATGAATCAAAGCGAACTCTGGTCCGAGCCTTCGCCAGATCTCCCCCCCCCCCAAAAAAAAAACGATGGGCACGGGCCAAAGGAGCGAAGCCAAAAGCCACGGAGGGTTTCGCGCGGACGCCTGGACGCCGCCTTGCGGCACAGCTCCTCGAAGAGCTCTGGGGTGGCCGGAGCCCCGCTGGCCTCGCATCCGCGCGATTTCGGCGCGCGCTGACGGCGGGGAGGCCGCCTTCCCAAAGGACACCAAAAGGCCCGCTTGATGCTCGCCCATCCCGGGGATTGTCGAAAGTGAGCCTTGGAGTTGCGAAAGAGATTGAGGGTCCCAACTTGCGAGGATGGGGGGGTCTTAGTTGTTCAGAGCCTCTACGGCATCCACCGCCGCCAGGAAGGCTTGCGGCCCCGGCTTCTCACAGCCTAGCGCCGCAGTCGCGTCGGGCCGTTTTCATCTAGCGTGCCGTGCCCCGTCGCGTCGGAACCCCAAACCAGTGGCTCTGTGCTCTTTCCTGGTGGCACCAAGCCCCCTGAAAACCAAAAACTTGGAGTGCAAACACCAAAACCAAGCATGGCTCCCCTTGAAACCTAGAAAACCCGGAAGCTCCCAAGCACCTGAACCAAAACTCTGAACCCCCGCACCTCCGAGAATCTCCCGACACGTTTCCTCCCTCCTTCGGCAGAAAACCGGAGTGCCCAACAAAAGCATCATCTGACCCCCGGACCGCCGCGAATTTCCCGAAATTGTCTCCTCCCTTCGGCTGGCTCCCCTACAAAAACCCGGAAGTTCCCAACAAAAAGTCACATCCGAGCCCCGGACTTTCACGCGAACGTCCCGCATATTTTTCCTCCCTCCTTCGGCTGGGCGCCTCTGAACCCCCTGACCTCCGAGAACTTCCCGATTTGTTTCCTCCCACTTGGTTGCTGCAATGAACCCCCTGCAAAAAGTTTTTCACTTTTGGGGGGCTTGGTGGAAAACATTCCCCTTGACTTCAACCAAAAGGTGAAAGTCTAAAGATCAAAAAAAATAAAACTTGATGTCCAAAAGTTCAAGTCTAAAGATCCGTTGCCCAGTCAAGCCCCGTCTCTCTGGGCGCCCGCCGGCCAAGACCCAGAGCGCCAGGTCCCAGCTGCCCTTCGCCGCGCAGGCGCGGATCGCGATGCCGCAGCCCAGCGCGTCCAGGGCCACCTCCGAGCGCCGCCTCGCAAAGCCGGGGGAGGTGGTTTCAACGGCTCCGCCCCCCCCGCCCCCCCCCCAAAAAAAAAGACGAAGAAGAAAACACGGGCAAAAACAAGGCACAAGAACCAAAGACGGCAGAAAACCAGACACGTTGAATGTGCGCATGGCGAGTTTTCAGAGAATAGAATGGCACGCGTGTTCCTAACCAACTGACAATCAAGGAATCTGGTGCACCGAGGCCACATGTCGGCCATGATCTCAACCGCAAGCTCCCACTGCGACCCCTTCTCGCAGGCAAAGAGTAAGGTACCTCAGCCGCAAACCCTCACGTCCCCATCTCCCCTCTCGACTATCACCCTGCTCTGAAGGCCCGGCTGAAGAGCAAGGCATCTGGGTGCAGCCGCCCCTTCCGCGCTTCTTCTGCCAGGGCCAGGGCCCTTTGCCTCGCAAACGAAACAGGCGGAGAACCAAAGAAAACAAACCAAAAGAAAAAAGAATTAAAAAAACGAGGAGTCGCACTTGGGGCGCCCACCACTGACCCGCATGGCTGCACACGCTGCAGGCCCCTGTGACGCTGTAGATGTCCGGGCGCAGGGCCTCCATCCGCAGCTCCTGCAGCTTCGACCCACTCACTACAGTCGCAAGAGCCACTGGGCAAGAACACCACCCTGGCGGTTCTTTTGTGGCCAGGGCATCTCCTGGCTCGCCCCAGCACCCTTGCGATGCTACGGAAACTGCATGGGAGGCAATGCAACATTCCCACTTGCAGCTTAAGGGCTTAAGGCCGACGGGCTCGACCCCACGCTACCCGCGCGCTACCCGCGCGCGCGCCGCGCCTGGACGAGACCCAGCGCCTCCTCCCAGCGAGCGGCGCCCGTGCAGGTGTGCAGCGCCGCGTTGAAGCTGATGAGGTCCTCGGAAACCCCTGGCCGACGCGCCGGTCGCGTCGGACGCGTCGGCGTTTCTCAAGGCCAGGGCCGGCAGCAGCTGCTCCTCGCGCAAGGCCTGGCGATTTTTCGTCTCCGCGCGTGCGGAGTGACAACAGCGCCTCGAAGCCAGGCCTGGAGCAGAGCGATGGAACGCTCCCAGTCGTTCAGCTCATTGCCTGAGACGAAACGTCTCGCCATGGAAGGCTCCGACTGACGGACATGTTGCGAGTGAAGGCGCGTGCAGGATGTCCTCGCTGGCTCACCTTCATTTTCCAACTGAGCAGGGTGCTACGACACAAAGGCGGAAGTTGGCTGTGCCTTGCCCCATGCTTCTCCGCAAGCTGCACATAAGGCCGGAAACGCACCAGGTGGCACAGCCATGCATCAAGCCGAAAAACCGTCGGGAAGCTCGTGGCATGGATTCTCGATGCTTGCAAGCTGCCCGAGCCGAACAGCAGCTGAGTTCAAAGCTCGCTGCTTCGCCGGGCAAAAATCCGGGCTCACAGTGCCAATCAACTATTCTTGCCAAGCTGAGCGTGCACAAAGACCCGTTGCTCGCTCCCCTTGGCAATCGCCTGAGAACTATTTGGGAGAAGGGCCCCCGTTGGCACACGGGGCTGGCGAACAGCTTTTAGCCGTGCCGGCCGCCGGGAAAAGAGAGTTGATCCATGTTCAAACAAACCAGGAGTAATGCGCCTCAGGGTTTGGAAGCGCAACCTCAGCCGGCTGCTTTGGCAGATCACTGCCACTCAGCCCGCGAGAAAAGAGAAAAAAAAGGAACCTGATGCGGTGAAAATCCAGCTTGCGCAGACCGCAGCCACTGCTGAAATCATCGGCACCGGAAGTCCGTGCCGCTGACGTGGCACAAGCCAAGTGCCCCAGACGCAGGTGGGCTTTGGGCAAGGCCACTGCCCGTTTGGCAACCTCACTGACTCACCCGGCCGTTGCTCAGCCCATGTCCTGCCAGCAGGACACGCATGAACAACTTTCTTTTCAGCTATTGCTTTCTTGCCCGTACCTCCGTCGTTGGACACCACCTCATCGAAGCCAACAACCCTTCCTTTCCTCTTGAAGATGTCCGGGCCTGAAGCACGAGTAAGAACGGCATGCCAAAACTGAACCGAAATAAAGGATATGGAACCGCCCGATTGGCATGCAGTGTCACAATGCCGTGCATAAACCACCACCAGTGAGTAGCATCACAGTGGTGAATATAGTTCAGAAATATGTATGCATACATGTATATATATATATATACATATGTGTAAGTGCTTCTCCTCTTGCAGGTAGTGGTTTGGGGATGGGCCAAGTTTTCTCCCACCTCGCTATGGTTCAGAGTTGCCTTGAGTGGGCTCAGGTTTCAGGTTCCAGGGGAGGTGTACGGTCAAGTGGTTTGGCGGTTCAAGGTTGGCTTGGGGTTTGTTCAGGGTCAGCTTGGGATGTCCTGCTGCAAGCGCTTGCTCGTTTGCTCGCCTGCTTGCTGGATGGCGGTGGTGGACAAACAATCCCAACCCAATTTCAAAACTGGCTTTGCAAGTAAGACAAAGATTGAAGAGGACCTGGTGGCGATCCAATGGCTTCCAAATGTGCTTTCACATTTCTATGTCAGACCGCCTCGGCGAATTCCGCTTGCTCCCTCCAACTTTGCCCCCTCCCACTTGCCGCCGCGAGTGACGCGCTGCTTGTCATCTGAATGTCCAACACATGAAAAACCCAAGGGATGTCCACCCATCTTTCCCCGACCCCCCCCCCCTCCACATTGCAGTCTAGCAGCAGCAGTGCCCAGATTTGGCCGCCGTGAGGATGGAATGGGTGCGAGGCAACGCGGGGCGCAGCGTCAGCATGTCTGACCAATTGGTCTCCTTCTGCATCACTTCCTCAGCTGATTCTGACAGCGCCAGCTGCAAGTGAATTCCCAGAGACTTCGGGCCTCAAACGCGCAAGCGCGTTTGAATGATGTCAAAGCGCTCACAACCCTCAGAACCTGCTTCTAACCTTCTATTTGGTTAAGAATGTGTTTTATTTTCCCCCGTTGGTTTTGAAGGGAATCTATCACTACTGGAATTATGTGTGTTTTTCCTCCAGGGGACGAAAAAACAAATGGAGGCAACACGCTGGAAAAGATCCACTCGGCTGCCCTTGGCTTCTTGAGCCAAGCCTCCACAAACCGGGCAGCGTACTTTCCTTGGTTGACGTTGGAGGGGGGAGAAAAAACTAAATTCTAGCAGTTAAGTGGTTGGATTCCAACCACTAAACCACAATAAGCGAAAAAGATGTTTCACTTGCGGGTTTAGTGAAAAACCCAACTTGAGTTCCAAAAAAGTTAAAGTCTAAAGATCCAACCCAATAGCAGTCAAAACCACAAGCAGCGGGGGGGGAAAAAAAGTACCAACAAAAATGTTTCCCAACAACAACCATGTTTCGCGCGCTGCGTTGCGTCGTCCAGCACTTGCCCACGGCCTTGGCAAAGCCCTCCGCGTCCACCGCCACCAGGCGGGTGACGTCCTCCGAGACCAGGTCCCCGAGGTAAAACCAGGGGACCCACCTGCCACAGCGCCGGTGGGTTGAACGTTGAGGCCTTCGTTTTCTTGGGAAAACCCCCTCCATTTATCCCAGGTGAATGTTGACCCCGGATGAATAAAACCTGTTTAAACATTATCGGGGTGTTCCCCGCGAAAGGTGATAAATCCTCCACTAAAACCGGAGACACCGTCAACATTAAAGTTGAAGGATCTGATTCCTAAGGCGCAGCCAAGCCGCAAGCTCACCTCCGCCATCCAGCCGGACTCATCGAACTCCTTCCGCTCGCCGTCGAGGAGGTAAGACACCGCCCCCGTGAGCTTCAGGTAGGCGCAGTCCGCCTCCTGCCCGGCGAGGAACACCACGTCCTGGCCGGCCACCACCGTGGTCCGCACCGCGCGCACGGCCAGGCAGTGCAAGGTATGGACCACCTGAGCTTGCTCAAAACCCGGAACTAAAATGGGCGATCCCCAGAGCCATGCTTCAGGAATCAAGAAGCCGGAGATCAGCGATTTTTATGGCAAAGGGATTGTCCCTTTCTTCCATTCGGTCAAGATCCCTGGAAAAAAATACACATATGTCCAGTGGTGATAAATTCCATTTAAAACCAACAAGGGAAAATGATAAATTTTCTTGAGCAAACGGTTTCGGTTTTGAGCAGCACGCGGCTCGCCTGCCGGTCAGCGGTCTCCATGAGCTCCTCCAGCAGCACCAGCTTCCGCAGGGCCTGCTCGTACCTGGAAGTAGGACCGCAGCAAAAAATGGCCATGGGCCAAAATCAAAAGCCCGTACCCCCAGTGAACATCCCAATCCAACCACTAAAATAGGTTTCTAAAATGGGTGGTGAATTCACCTACCCCAAAATGGGATCCCATTGGTTTTGACCCACAGCCAAATTATCTGTTTTGCCTGGTTCGGGGAAAACAAAAGGGACCCCAAAAAATCAACAACAAACAAAGAGCTAATTCTGGGGAAGCTACCTCGCAAACTGCAGCTCCCCCTGCAGCTGCTGCGAGAGCAAGTCCAGCAACGGCACCGCCACATCTGCGGACCTGACAGCAAGGAGGCGACGTGGAGCAGCTGACTCAAACAAGGAAGGCAACTACTGCTAAATGACAATTCGCCCACCATGTTCAACTCCGGATGTTCAATGACAACTCGCCCTCCATGTTCAACTCCGGCAAGTTGCTCACAGGTGAGCTTGCGTGTGGGGAAGAGGGGGAACAAAAAAAAAAAAAACGCGCGCGCCGGGGAGACCACCCGACCTTGCTTCCTTCCTGACGGCGTACTGGTACTGCAAGAAGTTGGTGATCTTCTGGCTCAGGGCGTGAGGTATGTTGTGGTTCGCCAGGTGGGCTCGCAGCCTGCGGAACTCGTCGCTCTCGTCCTGTGCGAGTGGTCGGGGCCCGGGGATGAGAAATGGAATGAACCCCAGGGGTCCGAGGTCTGTTTAAAGGAAACCACCAGCAAGGGAGGGTTTATCATAGGGTCATGCTCCGTGTCTCAGTTCCCTGCCATCTCTCTCGCGCACCGATCGCCCGCTTTTTGTCGAGTCGATCTGCGCCTCCTTGATCTTGCTCAGCCAGGCCATGAGGTTGCTCACCGTGCTGATGAGCGTGGAGGAGGTGATCAGCGACCGGAAAGCGCTGAAGATGCAGAAGGCCGTCTCCAGGCTGTTGGTTGCTTGGGCCGGGCTGGATCCCACGCCCAGCTGGGCGAAGGCCCAGTTCAGGCAGGTCAGGTACTGGTACTCCACCTCAAATGCTGCTGACCCCCTCTGCGAAAAAATGTATAACTTCTTGTGGGTTCAATGCAAAACCCTCTGCAAAATGTATAACTTTTTGTGGGCTCAATGGGAAAAATCGTTGGCTTCACAAAAAGTGAAAGTCAACCCAATAGCAATCAAGCAACGGAACCATTCTCAATGCCCAGGTCGGTCACCCAATTCTCTGCGTAGACGTGGCTCATGGCAAACCAAGCGCATGCCAGCAAGTGGTTCGTGACCAGCAGAGTGGCAATGCTGCTGAACAGCCCGTAGTACAGGCTGGCAGCCTAAGGAAGCTTGCCCATTGTGATTTCTCGCTTCTTTTTAGAAGGCAACCTCGACAAGTTTCTGGCCCCCCACCGTAAGGAGGAGGGAGGGGTGGGTCACCCCCTCCCCCAATTCCAGTTTTAAAGGGGCGGAGAGTGTCTCTCCCTGCCTGGGTGTGAAACAGCTCCTGAGTGACCTCGTTGATCTTCCGCAGCTTGATCCACCGCAGCATCCGCAGCAGCCGCAGGAAGCGAAGCATCCGCAAACTCTTGGACCAGTTGCCGGGGGCTTGGTGCGCCCAGTCCAAGATTCGGAAGGACCAATCCATGGAGATCAGCGAAAGGTCGAAGAACATCCAGGTCTTGGCATAGTTCACCGCGATCCGTTTCCAGCTCATGATCAGCCTGCCTTCATCGTAGAAGCCGGTGCACAGGGATGCAAAGAAGTCCAAGTTCCAGAACAGCAGCATGAACCACTCCAAGAACTCCCAGAACTCAGAGCGCGGAGGGTCAAAGGCATAGAGGGGCACCACCAGCAGGTCGTGCGACACGCACACCGCCACCAGGCAGTTCCAAAAGTTTCGCACCCGGCTCCCGGGGTGGACCACCCATCTCCTGACTCTCTCCCCTCTGCCCACGGCCGGCAGAGCAAAACCAAAAAACGTCGTTTTGTGGGTATGGGTCAAAATTAAACCACCAGGGGAATTCAATGTTTCTCCACTTACTAGGGTTCGGTACCTATTTTTGACCCACAGCCTTTTTCGCCGCAGCCCGGTCCTCTTCACCAAGGCCTCCACGCTGGTCACGGTATCCGCAGCCCTCACCCCCCCAAAAAAAGGGAAGGAAAGCGCGGCGGGGATTGCAAAATCAAACATGGAGAAAACCGACGAAAAAACCCATGAGAAGCAGAGAAACAAGAACCCTCTTGGACTCGGACTGACCTTCTCCCAAACCTTGCGCCTCCCGGCATCCCCAACTTCTGCCGGGCCGCTTCGCACATACAGCGCCCGTCTTCCGGCTGGGCAACCTGGGCCGAACGCTGGCCCAAACGCCAGAGCAAAGGGCAGCTTGCACCTCTGAGCTCATGGAAACCAAAAAAAAGATCCTGCGAGATCTGTGCCAAAAAATGTCCAGATTCACATTGATCCATCTTTCCTTTAGAAACTTGAATCTTTCAGCACCGCATTTGCCCGAATCTTCCCTCATACCCTCATTCCCTCCAGCTGGTCGGGGCACACATCCGCACTCCCGCAATGCCTGCTGCTAGGCAGCAGTCGGCCAGCTCGCGCAGAAGCACATAAAATCTGCTTTCCGGAGAGTGTTCGGGCGTGCCCGGTAGGACGCCGGGCAGCGGCAAACTCATGGCGCCGCGCGAGCCAAGGGCTGTACACCGTCTGCGGGAAACCAAGAGGAGCTTCCAAGACATGCGACGTACACCAGCGCAGCTCTGTTTTATTCTCTCCCTCCAGGGCGTGGTGAAGAAAAACGCCCTGGGCACCTGACTTCGCCGAAACTCTTGGCGGCTATCCACACAGACACACACCTCTGCACAAGTTTCTGGCGAGGGCAAACAAAAACCCACGTCATGGGCGAGCAAATTCATGCCTTCTGCGGCCAGCAGTCCATGCAAAAGCTGAAGTTTGAGGGTGGGAGACCTAAACTTGCCTGAGCTGATTTAAAACAAAGGCAAGGGCCGGCATGCGAATCGCAGGCGCTCAGAGCGCTCTGCGTGCCCGCGTGTGCGGGTCAGTTCGGGGTCGGCACCACCGACTTTAGGCGAAGGCGCGGGCCTCCGGTTCAGGGCCATTGGCTCCGCGGAACTGAGCCCAGTTTCATATGAGCAAAATCCCATTTCTCACCACCTATATAAGAAACCCTGGAATGAGTTGACTCCCCTGCAAACCTGCAAACACCAACAAACAATGGTTTCAACCATGGTTTCCAAGTGGTGCGAGCGGATTTCGTCCGTCAGCAGGGGTCCCCAACGCGAGTTTGATCAAAGAGGGGCTTGTTGAGCCTGGGGCCCGGGGGGGACAAACCACGCCCCGGCACTTTCTCAAAGTGCTGCAGCAACCTCGTGCTTTAGGCAACACCTAGTTTCCCACGCGCGCATGCCACCTGTCAACTCAGCGCCGCGCAACATTGAGATGGAGGGGGGCTTCTCGACTCTACGGAGAAGTCATCCTCTACCGCCGGCAGAATGTCCGTCCAGCGATTGTGCTTTTTCAGCGACTCCTCGCACAGGATCAAACCATCCCGGGAGCACTGGTGGGCTATTTCTCACATGGCGGACTCTTTTGGGGTCCGGCTCGAAGGGGGAACTTTAGTCTCAAGCCAACCGTCAGGGGTCCCCAAATCCTGCCCGCGTTTCTCGGGTTCGAGGCAGCCGAATGCCAAACCCATGTTCAAAAACAAATCCCAGAATGAACATGAATGGTTTAGTGGGGGTCCTTTCCGGCTTTTCGTTTCAGAGCTCAGGGAGGAAGTGAACTTCGACCAAGCTAGAGATGCCAAGCAAGCGCAACCCGGCCGTTTGCGCGTTCTGCTCAAACCTGGCAGGGGACTTCCGTGTGTTTCCGGTGGGCCCCCAAAAGAGGGCCACGGCCAAAGCTCACCCTGAAAAACAAGAATGCCAGCACCAGCCTGAAACAACCAGCCCTGCCTACCCGACTTCCGACTTCCGAACGCTCCGAGCTTTCAAGTTCCGAAATGAACAAACTGCCAGGAAGAAACAAATAAACAAGTAAAAATAAATTAACCCCCCCCTGACCCCCCCCCCCCCACTTTCCTCCCTCCCCCCCCCCGTACCATATCCCTTTCCCTCCTCCCCTCCCATAGCCCTTGGCCCCCGAGCCAAGTGCCCCGTCCAGAAAGCTCTGGGCATAGCGCCTGGCCGCCTGGTGGGTGGCCCAGCTGGCGCCCAGCGTGCTGCAGAAGGCCTGGGCGTCCAGCACCGCCAGGCGCGACACGTCGTTGGCCACCAGGTCCCCCAAATACACCTCGCCCGCGAACCGAGAAAGTGCCCAAAAATCGGGGGGCAAATTGATGGAGGAGTCCCGGGTGTTCTTGTTTTTGTTGTTCCATCTTCTTTGTTTTCCGTGGGAACAAGTGAAAACAAAAAGTACCCAAAAGACAAGCCAGGTGGGTGTTCCTCAAAAAATAGGAAACCCAAAAATGTTGGCCCCAAAAAGTCAAGGTTTTACTTTGCATTCAGCTCCTGGCAGCCGGCTGTTCCTGACAACTGGAACCCATTTCGGGCTCATTTCACACAAGTCCAACATTCAGGTCTGCTGGCAACCCCGAAGGGGAAAAAAAAACACTCAACCCCTGCGAGTGCCAACCCAAACACACTGTCTTTGCCATCTGCCGTGTCAGTGCTCCTGCTTTCAAAGGACCTCACCTCAAGCTGACGCTCCGAAGGAGCGGCAAAACATGGCAAAAGAAGGTGAGAGGACCAGAAAAAGGAAGGTAAATCTCACGAAGCCCAGCTTGTTGGGAAGAACATCCTTCAGCTATGTCTCATTCACATGTCGTGGTTTTGTGAGTATGCCTGTGCATCTCTGCAATAAATATCATATATATATATATACATGTTTGTGTGTGTGCGTGTGAATTTAAGTTCATATCTATATCCAACGCCTGCTCAGGTACGCATTGTTGCCCATGACTCCAACCAGCTTGATCAAAGTGGCAAAAAAAGGATCTGGCGGGCGCAGGAGGCCCAGCCCTACATGGCCAAAAGGGAACCTTGCACAGCGCGTAACAATGTTACTCAACACGAAGCACAAGAAAACGGACGAAGCATGTCCCAGCTGAAGCCACGTTTCCGCCACTGACCGCAGACTTTCTTCAAAAAAACGCCTCATACAAACTAGACCACGGTTGGCCCGAAAGCATAACATCGCAAGCGAGGTCGGCCCAACGCTGCAGGATGCGTTCTTTTTCCCTCCACGAAGCATTTGTGAAGCAAGCGCGGGACAGCACCAGGCAAGGTGCTCTGCGCAAACTGGTCGGTGCAAGTTGGTCTGCGCAAGTTGCTCTACGCAAGTTGCACTGTGCAAGTTGCTCTGCGCAAGTTGCTCCGCGCAAGTTGCTCCGGCAAGTTGGCCCCTGCAAGTGGCTCCCTGCAAGTTGCTCTGTGCGAGTTGCAGTGTGTGCAAGTTGGCGCGAGACAGCACCAGGCAAGGTGCTCTGCGCAAACTGGTCGGTGCAAGTTGGTCTGCGCAAGTTGCTCTACGCAAGTTGCACTGTGCAAGTTGCTCTGCGCAAGTTGCTCCGCGCAAGTTGCTCCGGCAAGTTGGTCCCTGCAAGTGGCTCCCTGCAAGTTGCTCTGTGCAAATTGCGCTCCCTGCAAGTTGCTCTGTGCAAGCTGCTCTGTGCAAGTTGCTCTGTGCAAGTTGCTCTGCGTAAGTTGCTCTGCGCAAGTTGCTCTAGGCAAGGCGCTCTGCGCAAACTGGTCGGTGCAAGTTGGTCTGCGCAAGTTGCTTTAAAATGCAAGTTGCATCTTGCGACGCCCGCCCGCGGACCAGGGAGGAATCGAACCCGCGACCCGCCGGCCCGGGAGCAGGCGCGCGAACCACGAGACAACTCCCGAGGACCAGTTCGAGTTTTTGCACCTCGACCACGCCGATTCCCGCAGAGGGTCGCGCGGGCACCGCAGAAATTGCAAAAAACCATGGGTTTTTGCACCTCGACCCCACGCCGATTCCCGCAGAGGGTCGCGCGAGCACCGCAGAAATCGCAAAAAAACCTCGGGTTTTTGCACCTCGACCACGCCGATCCCCGCAGAGGGTCGCGCGAGCACCGCAAAAATCGCAAAAAAAAAACATGGGTTTTTGCACCTCGACCACGCCGATCCCCGCAGAGGGTCGCGCGGGCATGTTGGAAATCGTAAAAAACCATGGATTTTTGCACCTCGACCACGCCGATCCCCGCAGAGGGTCGCGCGGGCATGTTGGAAATTGGAAAAAACCATGGGTTTTTGCACCTCGACCACGCCGATCCCCGCAGAGGGTCGATTTTCGTGTAGTGTCGTCGGCACTACCCCGCCGCCCTAAGAAGAGATTTTACCTCCTCGCAAGTCAATTGCACTTGACTCCTTGCACTTGCAACTTGCACTCGACTCCTTGCACTTGCAACTTGCACTTGACTCCATGCACTTGCAACTTGCACTTGACTCCTTGCACTTGCAACTTGCACTTGACTCCATGCACTTGCTCGCAATGCACTCTCATGACTCCTTGCAATGACTCCTTGCAATGACTCCTTGCAACTGACTCCTTGCTGACCTCCTCCTTGCAATGACCTTGCAATGACTCTGCATGATGATGATTCCTCCTTGCAATGACTTGCAATGACTGCATCGATGATGATTTCCCTGCAATGACTCCTTGCAATGACTCCTTGCAATGACTCCTTGCAATGACTCCTTGCAATGACTCCTTGCATTGACTTTCATGATGATGATTCCTTGCAATGACTCCTTGCATTGACTTTCAAGATGATGATTGCAATGCAATGACACTCCTTGCAATGACTCCTTGCAATGACTCCTTGCAATGACTCCTTGCAATGACTCCTTGCAATGACTCCTTGCATTGACTTTCATGATGATGATTCCTGGCATTGCATTTCATGACCTCTCCTTTGCATTGGATGATGATTCCTTTTGCAATGACTCCTTGTATTGACTCCTTGCAATGACATCCTTGCATTGACTTTCATGATGATGATTCCTTGCAATGACTTGCATTACCATGATGATGATTCTTGCAATGACTCCTTGCATTGACTTTCATGATGATGATTCCTTGCAATGACTCCTTGCATTGACTTTCATGATGATGATTCCTTGCAATGACTCCTTGCATTGACTTTCATGATGATGATTCCTTGCAATGACTCCTTGCATTGACTTTCATGATGATGATTCCTTGCAATGACTCCTTGCATTGACTTTCATGATGATGATTCCTTGCAATGACTCCTGGCATTGACTTTCATGATGATGATTCCTTGCAATGACTCCTTGCATTGACTTTCATGATGATGATTCCTTGCAATGACTCCTTGCATTGACTTTCATGATGATGATTCCTTGCAATGACACCCTGTAATGACTCTCATGAGAACAACTCAAGTGAACCCAGCGGAAGAACCCTTCGCCATGCTTTCGGGAAAAAAAGCGAGGACACGACTCCGGTCGTCGGCACGTGCGCGACCGACTGCGACCGACTCGGATTTGCGGGATGGGATTCCAAGGCGCCCAGGGGGTCCACAGGCACACCTCCGCGATCCAAACCTCAGGGCACAGAAAAGCCCCGGGAAAGTGTCCATGTGCTTTTGTCGGTGTGGAGAAAGTTGACAACATAAGCTTCCAGTAGTGAAACCGATTCGCTTGAACACCAACATGGGTAAAAAGAAAAAAGACAAGAACATGCTTAAGCAAACGGGAGCAAAAGAGATGGATGGGCCATCCATCAGCAGCCGAGGCGCAGAATCATCCACGGCCTCCGGGCCGTCGTCGTGGAAGTACGTCAGGGAGCCGCTGAGGCTCAAATAGGCGGCCTGAGGCCAAATTTCCCAATCGAGTCCATAGCTGGACGTGACGCGTGTTCTTTTGGATCTAAAGAAAGGCCAGGCGATGCCCCGTCATGTTTGCAAGTCATTGGAACAACTGGGCAACCTGAATGGACCGCAACAAGGCCGAGCGCAGTGGGCAACTTTTGCTACTGCGTGAGTGGCGACACGAGCTAGACAAATTCCCCAAAGGTAGCCGACCATCACATAGGAAAAATGTCCCAGAGCTACTTTCAAACCCCTTCCAACCCTCCAAAAACCTTTCAACAGCACTAAACCAAAACAACCTCCGCCACAACCCGTCGAAGGCCGTCGAAAAACGAAGCAAGACTGGCCCCACCCTACCCGCCCCCACCCTCCACCCCCAACCCCAACCCCACCCCACCCTACTCCCAAAAGGCGCGCACTTGGCGAGAGATCTTTTTGGCGCAAGCGCTCGCGGCTCCCTCCCTCCAAAAGGCGCGCGCCCGCGCCTCCGCCCGGGTGCCCCCGAGGAAGATCACGTCCCGGGAGGCCACCACGGAGTTGCGCAGCGCCGCCATGGCCATGCGGTGCAAGACCTGCTTCACCTGCCTCGGCCGGGGCCGAAAGGACGCGAGGCTTTTCTAGGCCCTCCAGTAGAGAGGTTAGAAATAAGGGTGCCAACTTCTTTCTGAAGCCTATTTTAGTAGGGGAACCCTCGGAGTTTAGGGGGAGGGAGGTGTTTTTTCAAGGTAGTTGTTTACAGTGTTCCTGTTGGCCTCCAAGAATGTGGGAGGAAGATGTGGGAAAGCTTCCCATAATCCGTAGCTTGTCTGGCCTCGGTATGTTATGGGCAAAAAGTGAGTTGCACCCCTCATTTAAACAGAAGAAAGAAGGGGCCGGAAAACCATACAGTGTGAAACCATGGTTTTTGCACGGCGGGCTCATTCCTTTCGTCATATTCCATGCGGGAGAGGCTCGTGGCACATCGAATCTTGGAACCAGGAGAGAGAGAGAACGTCGGACCTTCGTTTCTCCCCTCAATCTTTCCCGGAGCATCGGTCTGGCTCCAGTTCCCACTTGGAGCAGGCTTTAACTGCCCCACTCCGAGGAACAGAACAAGGCGAAGCCAGAACAGCAGGCCCCCACTTAAAACGAGAGCCGAAACAGACAGTTGAATCACCGGCTTGAAAATTGCAAGCACGTAGCAAACAAAGGCCAGGAATCCGACAGCCTGTCCCCTTCAAAAGTTGACCTTTGCTGCTGGCTTCCCATTGAAACTGCCACTTTCCAAACATGGAAATTGCCTCGGACACCCTGACACCTTTCCTAGGCTAGAATAAGGGTACCAACTTTTTCTGTAGTCTATTTTAGTAGGCGAACACTCCCAACCAAAATAGTTGGTAAAAGGGCACCAATTGCTCAAACACTGCGCGTCTTCTAGGGGTTGATTCCCCATTCTTTTCAGCCATCGTTCTTTTCAAAAGCCGATCGCCATTTCCCCGGGTTTTTGGTGGTAGATAGATTCGGATCCCTGGAAAGAATGGGGAAGGCCGCCAGTGTTTTTGGTGGTTTTCTAAAAAGAAGGATCCCTGGAACGAATGGAAATGGAAGTTACCCCTGAAGTCTTCCTTTCCGGCCCCCCCCCTCCAAGCCCCGGGCAGGTCCGGGGGGTCCAGCAGCTGGTCCAGCAGCGGCAGCCTGCAGAGGGCCCGGCGGTACTTCTCGAATTGGAGCTCCCCCTGCAGCTGCTGCGACAGCAGATCCAGCAACGGCACCGCCATGTCCGCGGACCTGTCGCGAGCAGGGTTTGTTTCCTTGTGTGGGTATCCCCGTAACTTTCGCAGAAAAATGAGCGTCCCAGGCGATGGCGTGCGGAGTGCGGAGGAGTTTTCTGCGCTAGGGGATGAGGAGCTGGGCTTGTTTCAACTTGTGGGTTTCCCCAGAAGGGCCATACAACAGGGGGGACATAATTTTGAGCAAGTCCCAAGTTTCACCTTTGCGCGATTTCCCCACTTCACGGCGTCCCGACGTCCCGGGCGGGCGGAGTGCGGAGATTTCGGCGCTGGGACCAAAACTGAAAAGGCTAAGGGGGCGGCTTTTGGCCACCAGGAAAACATGAGGAAAGGGGAGGTCCTCCCGGCAAAACTGTGCAGGCACCCCGCCCCCCACGCGATGTACAAAACATGCATAATGAGGGGGGGGGGCCTCCCGAGGAGAAGTACCCTTGGGCTGTGGCCACAGAAAAGCTTGGATCCCACTGCAAAAGCCTCTTGAATGCGAAAGACCAACACCTCTGTCTGGATTGCCGGTCCCAGCCTTGCTTCTTGTCTCAGGGCATACTGATATTGCAAAAACTGCGTCACCTTCTGGCTCAATGCGAGGGGAATGTCATTGTGCTGCAGGTAGCACCGCAGGAGCCGGAACTCTTTGTTCTCGTCCTCCTTTATTTTGCTCAGCCCACCCATGAGGTTGCTGACTGTGCTGATGAGCGTGGAGGACGTGATGAGGGACCTGAAGGCGATGACGATGCAAAAGACCATCTCCAGCGTGTTCGTGGCTTTGGCCTGGCTGGATCCCACGCCGAGCTGGGCGAATGCCCAGTTCATGCACGTCAGGTATTGGTACTCCTTCGACTCCGCCTCCATGTCCAGGTCAGATACCCAATTTTGGGCCTGCAAACGGCTGGTGGCGAACCAAGCGCATGCGATCAGGTGGTTCAAGATCAACAGGTGCGCAATGCTGCTGAAAAGGCTGAAGTAGAGGCTCGAAGCCTAGCCGGCTGCTGGCACACAGCTTCCACTCATTACCAAGGCACTTGAGGAGGCGGGCCATGTGATAAATATGACCCTCTTCGGGAACTTCGGTTCGGGGTTCAAGCATGCTTACAAACTTCCTACTCAGTACCTGCCCTTCCTGGGCATTTTTCCCAAGGGCTGCCTTTTCCTATGGCATGGGCCACGTTTGCAGGAACATGTCGCAGAATTATTGACCCCACATCCTGCATCGGTTGTGCCGGACACGTGCGCATCGTTGCAGGTTGCATATCTGGAAACAAAGGTGTGCCTTGTGGAACCAGGACAGGCGCTGTGAAATAGTTGAAAATGCCCAGGTCGGCTTTGGACAATTGAGCACCACTAATGCTTTAGACATAAAGAGATAAAAGGCTCTGTATGCATCTCTGTGCCCAATGAAAGGGAGTGGGCCAACAACCCAACACCCACCACAGCCCAACATCCCATACAAAACCAACAGGCCAACCAAACCCTAAACCCTAAACCCTAAACCCAGCAGCCCAAAAGCTTGCAGAGTCCCACGGCGGGTGACCGAAACCACCCCTTCATTGTCACCTGCTGTTTCCACGCACGGCCCTCTCAGGAGATTCTTTGGCTCGGACCCGCCAGCAACCCACGGGCGCGAAAGAGTCTGAGAGTCTGAGACGTCCAAATCCCCTTGCCCCCGAAGGAAAGAGAGCAGGTGTTGGTGCGATATTTTTGATGTGTGGCGAACAACGATCAAAACACCGTACTTTACGGGTGTTTTCTGAAAGGAAACATGTAAACACACCTGCCCTGAGGCTCCCCAGCTTTCCGGACACAATGAGGATACATACGAAACCTGCGGAATGTAGGCAAAGAGGTTGGATTTCTTCCATTTGCTTAAGCCCCCTGGAAAAAATATAAAAACATGTCCAATAGTGAAATCGTTTCCCTTTAAAACCAACAAAGCATAAATAAAACAATTTAAAGAAACAAATATTACTCAAATAATAGTAATAGGTTCCCTTTAAAACCAACAAGGGCCAAAAAAAAACTTAAGCAAATGGAGGATTTGCATTCCAACCTATGCCGCCTGGGAGTGGAGGAGCTCCTGCAGGGCGTCGTGTGCCCTGCGCAGCTTCAGCCACCGCAGCATCCGCACCAAGCGCAGGAACCGCAGCAGCCGCAGCGACCGCCAGCCCTCGCGGGTCGAAACGTCGTGAGGTTTTTCCCCAAGGTGCATGGATCGATCTGCATAGAAACGTCTGAGCGTAAGGGAAGTGAAGCGGGAACAGTGCAAAGATGCAAAGACGAAAGTGACACAGGCAGCACTCCTGGTCCCCAAGAGCGCTCCCCTGAGGCCTAGGAGCTCAGAAAGGTGCCTGGAGGCCCGAAGTGCGGAAATAGAAAACGGGGTCGGGTCCGGCGTGAGAAGGGGCATGAAAGAGTGGAAGGGGGGAAGAGAAGGTGCGAATTTCGCTGGTTCAGATTGGGTGGCCAATTGGTGGCAACAGCGCAGAACAAAGCAAACACAAGCTGCACAAGCTGCTGCCAGCACCCTGTACCAAGTGAGATAAGCTCACATGCGACTCTCACGAATTAGAGCCTTAAACCCTTGAACCAATCCTTGGGGATCCAACGGAAACTCACTTTCCCTCCAGTTTGGTGGTTTGGAGGTAGCGGTTTGGTGGTTAGGGGCTGGTTTCCCCTGCAAACCCTCTACAAGAACCAGGGGTGCAAAAAACCCAAACGGATCCAAACCACCAGCCAAGTACCTGAACCAAACCAAAGCTCAGCAAGCCCAGAAAGCCAAGTTGGAAGCGTTCCAGGTGCAAGATCGGCGCCCATCCCGTGGCTTCAATTCCCGGCCCTTCCGTGCTCCTCGCCCCCGTCAGCAGCGGAGGAGCCCAAGAGGAACCAATCCTGAACCGTTGGACGCAACCTTCTCAAAAAAGCCAAAGTCTGCCACTTCCGTCGGTGTCTTACCACGACTCCAAGCGGGAGAAAACAAGGGAAAAAGGAAGAAAACAAGAGAAGACAAAACGCTTGGAGGAGAAAGACAACTTGGGCCCTATCAAAGCCTCGGTGAGTTAGGGGGCCCTTGAGAGCACAAGCTGCAACCCCTTGCAAAAATGGATGGTGCTTTGGAGCGAAAGGGGCAAAGAGAAGGCACCTCGAAGAAGCTTTCGGGTAACGTTAACCCCGGATGAAGAAACCCCTGGTTGATTTTGATTGGAGGGTGGTTGGATTCAGACCACTTTTGGAGGGAACACCCCCCTAAAAATGGGACGAGTTTATTAATCCTGGGTCAACCTTAAATTCTGGGAAGGCTCCAGGGAGACCAAGCTGGCATCGAAGAGCAGCCAGCTGCGCGCATAATGGAGAAAGATTCGCCAGGGAGACATCACCAGGGAGCCCTGGTCATAAAAGCCGGTGCGAAGGGACACCACGCAATCCAGGTTCCAGAACAACATGGTGGTCCACTCCAAGAAAAGTAGGAAGCCGCTCTCCGGGAGCTCGAAGACGTACAAAGGGACCATCAGCAAATCATGCAGCACCCCCACCGCCACCAGCAAGTTCCACACCGTCCGCGCGGTGCCCCCAGGGTGCAGGACGCACGAGGGCCGCTCGGCTTTGTTCGGCGAGCTTCTGTCGGTGGCGCCTGTCCTGGGCCGAAGACGTAGACACGAGAGTCGCAACATGCCACAACTTAGTACGAAAGGGGGGCGAAGGTCTGCAGCTACTCTGGACCAAAGAGGAAGATACACAGTAGGAAGAAAACCACTTTCTCTAGAACTGTCTCCATTCACCCGGATCGGCTTCGGGGAGTGGGAGACATCAGGCAGGGCGGATCGTTTCGCCCTCCCAAAGCGCAAAGCGCCCTCCGGTTCCTCCGAGGCGCGGCGCGGGCGAGAAGAACTCCGCAGAGAGGCGCCGGCTCTGCATCGCCGGCTGCTGCTTCAGCTGGGAGCCCTTGGCCCAACCTAACGCGCAGCAAGGCGCAAGGCTTTGGTCGTTCCCGAAAAGGCTGGCAGCGCCAGAGCAGTTGCCTCAGGGTTCCGTTTTTGGGACTACCCCAAAGTCGACTTAAACCCAGGGGTGGTTGATTTCCCCAAAAGGGAAACCCCTGGGTTTAAGTCTGCCCTGGGGTAGGCACAAAACAGAACCCTGAGTTACCCTTCCTGAGTTCTTCAGTTGCTGATCCACGCGGGCGGTCTCTTGAGCGTTTTTTTTCTTCTTTAAGGCTGACTCTGAAAGAGCTGGGAGAGGCTGCGTTGGGAGTACGGGGGGTTTGTGGGATCTTTTGTTCCTGCACCCACCCAAAACAACTAAACCTCCCCCCCCGCCAAAAAAAGAATACAAGACAAGATAAAGCCGAAAAGCATTCGTGAAGCTTCAGGTCCATGCTGTCCAAAGTGATCTCCTCCGTCTCCTCGGCCAAGTACAAGCCCTGAAGGCCCGCCAGCGACTTCCACGTCTGCTTCCGCCTCGCGTGCGCGCGTGCGTGCGCGTGTGTCTGTTTTTGTTGATCTTTTTCGCCCGTGAGGCGGCACCGGTCGCGCCAGATGGCCGTGGGTCAAAAATGGGTACCCAAAATGGAACCCTGGCAAATGCAACCAAGGACTAAAACCTGCGGGTTAAACTTTGACTCATACCCACATTTCTGCCTTTGTCACTCGGAATTCAGCAAGGCCTTCTTTGAAGGACGCCTTTGAAACCCCCATGGTTGGAAGCAGGAGAGGCCGCGAACAAGACGACCGGCTTTATGAGGAAGCGAGCCGATTGCCACACTCCCAAGGCAAAACCACCCGCCGACCACCTTCCCTGAGCGCGCCTGGTTCGCACAGACGCCACTCGCTGCTGAGGCCCGAGGCTCTCGACGGAGCTGCTGGGCACGTGACTCCGAGCACTCACGCTGGCGCAGCTGTGCCTCGACACGCAGGCACGCAGGCCCCACCACAACCCCCCGCCCCAACACAGGCGCAACCGCCCCCCCCTCCGCACCACGTGCGTCTTTCAAGTTGGCAGCTGCCATAAACTTTAAAAAGGTCATGCGTTTTGTTCTTATTGTTTGTCGCGGCAAGGCGGAAATAAAGGCTCGAACAAGCCCTCGCCATAACCCCAACAGCCGCTCACAATGTTGCGACTCCTGAATACGATTGCAAAGCTTCCAGTCGGTCAGATGAGCCGGGCGATTCTCTTAGCGAGTCTTTCACACTGAGCTTAGCCCGGCTCGCGAAGTGGGTGCCAAGCAGCCCCAAGACCACCCCTCAATCTTCTGCACTCGCCTGTTGCTTCTGGATCTATTTTCATTCACCTTGGAACTGCGAAGGTCCGGCGCGAAGACAACACAAAGGCGCGGAAGACCAAATGCGGCCGAAAGCGGGTAGGACGGGTAAGACCAAGGCCCGCTAAGCGGGGGCCAGAAAAGGCCAGAAAGCGCTTCGGGTCAGCGGGCTCCAACATGGACCAAGGTCACAATTCGCAAGCCGCAAGCGCCGGCGGCGGGTGGGGTTTTCCAGCCGAAGCATCGAAGCATCGAATCGAAGCCCCGCCTGGTGCCATGCGCCTCAAAGCCCCGGCTCTCCGAAGGCGGCGGTTGGGGCTGCGCCTGTGCCAAGTCCGCCACGTAGCCTCCGCTGAGAGAGAGGACGCCACGACCGCCACTGGAAAATGCGGGCTCCCTTACGCCAACCGGAAGGAACAAACCAAGGGGTGGCGGTGTTTTTCTTGGGGTTAAAACCCTAAATCCTAAAGCCTGTTTGGGGGCAAAAAGGGGTTCAGAGCCGATTCAAAACAAGGGGAACAGGGCAGGGCTACGCGAAGGCCCGGAAGGAACCCCACGCGATGACGCGAGCCCCGCCAAGCGCGAAGCGGCGTGACATTCAGCCCACCTCTTGAAACATTCTGCAGGTTGACCTGCAAAAGAGGGAAGATGCAAGAGCCAAAGTCAACAAAGACAACCTTATGTGTGTCTCAGCTCCCGTACAATTAATTATTTCGCGTTGAAAGAAAACGCGCCGGGCACCGACTCCGAAACGGAAGGAGCCAGTATGATATGTCCTAATGTTTCTTGCTTCATTTTGTGGGAAGTGGCTTGCATCTAAAACGAAGTCCGCTCAGGTCTCAAGAAAGGAAATCGCTCTGGAGATCCCTCTTTCGTCAAGGGTGCGGTTGAAAGGGGAGCCCCTTTCCCCAAAAAAAAAAACAAAAAGAAACTCTGGCCAAGATCGTCGTGCATTTATTTGCTGACAAATGTGGACGTCTTTCAACTTTTGAAAGCGAAATTGGACCTGTCATACTCTACCAAAAAAAAAACTGAAAGCCGCCGCCCCCCCCCCCAAAAAAAACAAAAACAAAACAAAAACAAAAACAAAAAAGCATCGAGACCTCCCCCGACCGCTCGGCGCACAAGCGGCAGTCCGCCAGCTGCCGGTGGAGCTCCCAGAAGTCCGAGCGGCCAGACGGCCAGACGGGCGGCTCATGGCTCGGCGGATTCATGGCGCAACGATCCGATCCCAACGCTCCGGCTCGAGGCGTCGAGGGGTCGAGTCCTGCTGGACCTGGCCACTTAAAGGTGCGATTCTGAGAGGTGACCTATGACCTAAACTGGTTGGAAGTACATTTGGGTGTTTTCCCATAAAACCCGTCGAAACCAGTGGAACCCAGCTATGTCTAATCAAAGCAACCGATCAAAAGGAGACCTATGCCAACATGCCACTTCAGCTTTGGGCAGCTTGCTGTTTGGGACTCTTGGCCAAGGCGCTTTGGGCCGAAGATGCGCGCTTTGCTCCCGCGCCCCGTTGCTCCGTTGCCCCCCGTTCCCGAATCGCCGGAAGGGGCCCCGGCTGTCCGCCACCGCCGCGAGGGCGGTGTTGAAGGACACAAGGTCCGGCCTGCTCGCGGCCAGGCTCTTGCGCCCCCAAATAAATCTCCAAACTTCGCTCACGGCCGCCAGTTCACCGTCCCCATCTCAAGTTGATCAACTTCCTCACGGTCCAAAAAGGGGAAAATGGAGGGACCCCGCAGGAAGTCGCACTCCCGAACTGCCACAGCCAATTCCAAAACAATATTCTGGGAGCTTCCATGGGCCTGGAACCACCCGATGAACCCTGGATATCTTGGCGCCCGCAACTGGCCTCACTATTTTATCATGATCAAAGTCACCCCCTAGGTGATGGCAAGGGAAACACCCCCATTTTCCGAGTTTGACAACCACTAGACACGCTCAAAATCTTGACCCCGGCGCAAGGCCTGGATCCCCACCCGCCCGCGCGCCCGCGCGCCCGCGCCTGGGGAAGTGGGAGCCCGGGCCCATGCGGCTCAGCAGCGCCAGCGCCTGGCCCCAGGCGCCGCGGCAGGCGTCCAGCGCCGCGTTGCAGCCTCGGATCGGGAAGCGGATTCGGATGGATCCATCGGCGGAGAAACGCGGACGGGGAAAACAGCCTGGGTGAATTTCTAATATTTCACCCACCTGATATTTTGGTGGTTGGGGGGACTCATGGCAAAAAGATTGTGACCTACGGGGGCAGGTGGCCAGGGGGCAAAATCAACAGCCCGTACCCCCAGTGAACATCCCAATCCTGACTAAAATAGGTACTAAAATGGGTGGTGCACCCCACAGCCATTTCGAGGGAAGCCCACCGGAACACCCACCTTTCTAGGGGTGTTGGCCCAAAGGGGACGGAGAAATGAGGTGGTTTGGACAGTAGGACATCAAGAGGTTCGAAGAAGTGGCATTCCTCTGGACCTTCCTCTGTGGAGAAACCAAGGGAAACGGGGAACACCCACCCCTTGTGTTTCTGGGGTTCCCCTGCAAAAACACGAAGCAGGAAAACCGTACCAACACCCCCGGCGTTTAGATCTAAGGCCTGAACTGACCACATCCGGCTGCAGCCGGTGCTCCGGGATGAGCTCCAGCAACTGAAGTGCCACCTACCCGGCCCGCAAAAGCCAACCGGAGACCGGCAAATCTCGGTTGCTTTCTGCTCCCCTGCGAAAAGTTCAACTTCTAGTGGCTCAAGGGAAAACCCAGTAGTTGGCAAAAAGTTAAAGTCCTAACATCCAAGCAAAATCTACCAAAGAAATGGTGGAACAACTCTGACGCGCGCAAGCGAACAAAGAAGCAAGCACGTAAGCCACCTAAGGGAAGAAACTCGTTGCAAATTTTATCTCCATTGAGGCCTGGATATCTCAAACCCTGCACAAAGAATTCAGCGCAACCTGGAGGCAGCTTCAATTGACGCAAGTCCTGCATGGTCCATGGCATTCACAGGAAACAAACAAGGGACTGTTACCAGTTTCGGGGGCTGCCGATCTCAGAATTGCCCGTGTGGCCATGTCTGCATAAGAGTGCCTCCTGACGGCTTCATTGTGATTTTAGCAACTCCTGGCTTCATCAGTTTGTCCGGGATGAGACAAAGCTGTTCACCCCACAGAAAGCCCCTTTGGCTGAGGCTAGTTTTCACCTCTCGACAAATAATTGAAATCGCACGAGGCTCATCTACCTGCCCGTGACTCTGCCCGCCGAACCTACTTGCAAGAAAAGCCAACAGCGCGCTTTTGCCATGCATCCCCAACAAAAAATCCATAGCCACCAGCTGCCCTCCAGAGCATCCTCCCGCAAAAAGCAGGCACCAGCCCTCCCCTCCCCTCCCCCAGAAAACTTCATGTTTCACTTGGCGCAAACCCGGGCACCAGCGGCACCCCCGAGCGCCCCCAAGCGCTTTTTTCCCCTCAAATGAGGTCGGAGTTCAGGGGCTCGTAGGCCTCAGGCGCTCGGCGTGTGTGCTGAATTGGGAACCGCCAAACCATAGGGAGGCCCTACTGTAGGACTCCACACCAAATCTTGGCAAATCAAGCGCCTCAAGGTTACGTAGAGAAACTTATGGGCTCTCAAAAAACCAGCAGAGAAAAGACGACTCTATCAGGTATTCCCGGATGCTGTTGCAAACCTCCGCGGTTGAAAATGACCAACTTCCTGTGAATGCCGCCGTCTTTGCCATGATTCTAGGGGTGCCTTCCCCATTCTTTCCAGGGATCCTTCTTTCTAGGAAACCCCTAGGACGGTTTTTGGAAAGAACAATGGTTGAAAAGAATGGGGAACCAACCCCTAGAATGATTTACCATGATCACAGTTACCCCTTCAGTCGGTTCAAGGGGAAGGGCCCAGCTTCGGACAACCTAGAACCGGGATACCTGGTCGTTTGAAAAGTAGGCCCACCTCCGTTTAAGCCGATGTGTCTGGCAATGGACCCCAAAAAAAGAAATAATTACAGACGCGCAAACCCCCACCTTTAAAAAAAGTGTCCAAGACTTCCCCCAGAAGACTTCACAATAAAAAAAAAAAAAGGCGCCACGGGCCGTATCCCCCAGAAGCGGGTCGCGCCTCGGGCCAGGCGTGGCTGAAGCCCCGGCCCAGCTCCTCCAACTTCCGGCGGTCCTCGCTCCGCGGGCCGCTCCAAAGCCAGGTCGCCAGCAGCCACTTCTCCTCCACCGCAGCCAGGCTTTGGTGCCTCGCCCCCCCCAGGCGCGCGAAAGAAACGCGCATTCCGCGCGTCATTTTCGCGCGCGCGTGCGCGAGGGACGGGTGCTGAAAAAGCCATGTTTTGTTTCTTTATTTTTGCCTGGCTTTCTGGTGTTCTGGTTTGCCTTGCATTCTTCTTTGGTACAGTTTCTTTCCTTTTTTGCCTGGTTGGTTGTGCTTGCTTGCTTGCTTGCTTGCTTGCTTGCTTGCTTGCTTGCTTGCTTGCTTGCTTGCTTGCTTGCTTGCTTGCTTGCTTGCTTGCTTGCTTGCTTGCTTGCTTGCTTGCTTGCTTGCTTGCTTGCTTGCTTGCTTGCTTGCTTGCTTGCTTGCTTGCTTGCTTGCTTGCTTGCTTGCTTGCTTGCTTGCTTGCTTGCTTGCTTGCCTTGCTTCCTTGCTTCCTTGCTTCCTTGCTTCCTTGCTTCCTTGCTTCCTTGCTTCCTTGCTTCCTTGCTTCCTTGCTTCCTTGCTTCCTTGCTTCCTTGCTTCCTTGCTTCCTTGCTTCCTTGCTTCCTTGCTTCCTTGCTTCCTTGCTTCCTTGCCTTGCTTGCCTTGCTTCCTTGCTTCCTTGCTTCCTTGCTTCCTTGCTTCCTTGCTTCCTTGCTTCCTTGCTTCCTTGCTTCCTTGCTTCCTTGCTTCCTTGCTTCCTTGCTTCCTTGCTTCCTTGCTTCCTTGCTTCCTTGCTTCCTTGCTTGCTCCCTTGCTTCCTTGCTTCCTTGCTTCCTTGCTTCCTTGCTTCCTTGCTCCCTTGCTCCCTTGCTCCCTTGCTTCCTTGCTTCCTTGCTTCCTTGCTTCCTTGCTTCCTTGCTTCCTTGCTTCCTTGCTTCCTTGCTTCTCTGCTTCCTTGCTTGCTTGCTTCCTTGCTCCCTTGCTCCCTTGCTCCCTTGCTCCCTTGCTTCTCTGCTTCCTTGCTTGCTTGCTTCCTTGCTCCCTTGCTCCCTTGCTCCCTTGCTTCCTTGCTCCCTTGCTCCCTTGCTTCCTTGCTTCCTTGCTTCCTTGCTTCATTGCTTCCTTGCTTCCTTGCTTCCTTGCTTCCTTGCTTCCTTGCTTCCTTGCTTCCTTGCTTCCTTGCTTCCTTGCTTCCTTGCTTCCTTCCTTCCTTGCTTCCTTCCTTGCTTCCTTGCTTCCTTGCTTCCTTGCTTCCTTGCTTCCTTGCTTCCTTGCTTCCTTGCTTCCTTGCTTCCTTGCTTCCTTGCTTCCTTGCTTCCTTGCTTCCTTGCTTCCTTGCTTCCTTGCTTCCTTGCTTCCTTGCTTCCTTGCTTGCTTGCTTGCTTGCTTGCTTGCTTGCTTGCTTGCTTACTTGTGAAACGGAGAGGGGGGGCTGAAGAGAAACCACACGTCTTCAGAGGCGAGTGAACAGTCCTTGGCTCCAAACGTCAAAAGGGCTTGCTAGTTCGCGGGCCAACTTCGGCTGGCTAGCTTCACCATACAATTTAGGGGGACATGGGTGGAAAGCATCCTTTTCTGGAATACTGTGACTACTTCGTCAGTTTAAAGCCAGAAGCTCAACGCATGGGCGTTTCCACAACTAATTAGGAGACCCTTTTTGCTTGAAATGGCAGCAACAACCATCCATGCTCAGTTTTCCAGTAAAACCCAAGCCTGAACATGTGACATAGGCAAAAAATGATATGTGAACTCCTGGGTTGGGCCAATTAAGCGAAGCTTGCATGCACAGCCCTGAGCTAGAGCTAGGCGCCCTGGCGTCACACTACCGCCTAGAGTGTCGCAACCGAGCGTACTTCGTTTACACAGGGTCGACACGTTGCGCGAGTCAGGTGGCACTTTGCGGCGCCCGGGCATTCGAATTCGAATCAACCCCATCATAGTTGGCTGCTCGCTAGGAACCGGTTTGAACCCTGGCTTATGGGGTGACTAACCTGTAGTCCTGGTGTGGAAAAAACATCTCCAAGCTGGGGAGCCCTGCAACCTTCGGCTGGGACCAAAACCTCTTTGAAGAAAATGGGCTCCAAGCAAGTGGGAGGAAAAAGGACGGAACTGGACAACTGGAAAAGGACAGAACTGGCAAATGCGATACAAATGCAATCTCACAAGCGGAAGTGTTATTGGAAAATGGAGAACTGTCAAAATTGTGGAGCTCAGGTTAAAGCAGTCGGAGTGGCAGCGACGTTCTCAGCTGCCGGCCGCGTGCGCTTCGCATCGGAGATGTGGGCCTTGCTGGCCGGAAAGTGCACCACTGCAAGGCCTCAAGTTGCCGGTGGGGTATCTGTACCCAATCATTTGAAGTTCCGTCAAAATGCGTTGTTCACAGTAGGTACGTTCGAATTTAGAGAGTCTTCTATCGTTTCCATGGTTTCAAGCACCTTGAGCTATATGGATGTCCAAGTGCAGACTACTTTCCTTTTCGGTAGATTCTGACCGCGCTTCATGTGTCCGCGTCCCCGACAAGCCCCCCCCCCACCCTTGGCCCGTCCACAGCGTTCAAGGCTTGCTTCCCTTGAGGTTGGTGGGAGGGAGGGGTAATGAACTTTGGCGACTGAAGCCGACATCGCGCGATTACATAGTTGTTGCTTTTGGAGGGTGTGGTGGGGATACTGAACTTCCGGCAACCACGGCAAACATGATGTGTGATATAGTTGGGTCAAGGGAACTCAGGACGCCCTCCCGTGCGAACATCTTCAGACAAACAGCAACCAAAGTGGATGGTGTTGGAAGCATGTTTGTGGAGTCGCATTCGGACTTTGTCTTTCCACGCACTTCTGCCATGTTCACAATGCATGCGTGCTGCCAATAATCAAAGATCAAAGCTGCCAAATGCGGACATGGGGATTTGGTCAGTCGTTTGGGCAAATGATGCTTGACCTCAAGCGTCAAAGATCACCTCCCCTTTGAACAACAAATCAGTGCACCCCGTATGCAACTACTTATTCACATCGAGTCCTGCGCGTATCTGCGCGCTGTTCAACATACCTTTCCTCCCTCCCGGTGAGCCTGAGGGCCCTGCCGTCATGTAGAGACCGTTGTCCCCACAGCTGGAAAACATATGAAATACGTGTTAGGACTTCCCCCAAGCCTAGGGCCTAGGTGTCCTTTTAGGGGAAATAGATGGCCCTAGTAGACGATGAAACCACCAGGTAAACCAGGGCCATCTACTTTCTAGCAAAACAACCAAAAAGGACACCTATGCACCCAAGGCGGTGACCTCTTGCGACTCCCGCGTTCGCCGGGCCTCTCTTTGGAGTGATCCTCAGCGGCGGCTGGCTGTTCGGGAACTCCGTCTCCCCACCTGCAGGAATCCAAGGGGGGCATTGGCAAAATCAGAGGTGCCACATCAGAAACGCACCCAAGTGGGGACTCCTTGTTCCTGGCCTAAAGACAAACCAAGTGGTTCTGGCCTGAATAAAGAAAAACCAAGAAGAGAAAAACCCAAGAAGTGGTCCCGGGGACTCGCGAGCCCGCACCCGGCCCAAAGATGGATGGCGGCCCGCCTCTGGCAACATCGTTCAAGTAAACGAAGAGCGTGGCCAAGCGGGAGCAGTCAATAAAGCCCGCGCTGGACCTGGTCCCGTTGGTGCTGAAGTCGCCATGGGCTTTGAAGAACTCGCCCTCCTGCGCACTGCGACGCACAGTCAGGCCTCAACCTCCGCTTCACGCGAGGCGCCACTGCGACCCGAGGTGGGATCCATTTTTCAGGAGGAATCTCCTCCAACGCGGAGGGCCCCTATAAAGGGAGCGCGCACAGACACACACAGACCCTTCATTCACCAGGAGTTTCTCAATCCAGGGTTCCCATATTGGACCGTCCTCAGCCAAAGCTTAATTTTTGGTGAAATGGCAACCCCCACTAAACCCTAAAAACAACCAAACTCCTAAGCAACCGGACGATTCGAGCAGGGAACCGCCAAGCATACCAGGTCCCGCTAAACCAACACCTCCCCACATCTCGGGGCTCACATGTGGGTCAAAAATGTTAACCACCATATGGACCACAGGTTGAAATGTCCTTTCCATTTGCCAGGGTTCGCAAGCCATTTTGGGGTTACCATCCATCGTCCCATCCTGGTAGCGAATGATCTGGAAGGCCTCCAGGTTCCGGGGCACGCACGCCAGCAGATCCTTACCCGCTGTTAGCAGCTTCCGAGGAAGAAAAGTGCATGAGCGGCTGAAGAAATGAACCATGTATGACCAATAAACGAATAAATGATGTGGAAAAATAAGCCAATGACTGCAAAGAGGGAGAAAAAAAAACATGAACAAGCGAACGACTGACTGACTGACTGACTGACTGACTGACTGACTGACTGACTGAATGACTGACTGACTGACTGACTGACTGACTGACTGACTGACTGACTGAATGAATGAATGAATGAATGAGTGAATGAATGAATGAACAAACGAACAAATGAATGAAACGGATTGACATTGAAATGCAATGGAATGAAATCAAACGTGAAATAACATTAAATGAAATGAAATGAAAGAACAGTGACATGGCATGAAATGAAATAAAATGTAAGAAGGAGAAATGAAATGAAACGGCATGGCATGAAATGCGATGGAATGGCATGAAATAAAACGAAAAGCAATGAAATGAAATACCATAACATGAAATGAAAACGAAATGCAATGAAATGCAATGCAAAGCAAAGAAATGCAATGACATAAAATGAAAGCCAGACAAAATGAAATGCAAGGCAATGCAAAGAAATGAACTGCAACGCAATAAAATGCAATGCAAGGAAATGAAATGCAAGGCAAAATGGAAATGAAATGACCGCGTCCAGGCGCCCACTCAAAAATTGCCTCAGGCCTTACGCGAAAGGTCGGTTTTTTTTTTGGCGGGAGCCTCATGCTTCGGGGGAAAATGAAGTGAACAGGTTCAGAAGCTCCACTCTGTCAGGTTATGCAACTCGTGCGGGTTCCATGCATCAGCATCCAGCCATGTCAGCTGAGTTCATCGATTTGGGGCTGCCAGAAAAGCCTCCAACTGCCTAGATCGGCGAATTTCCGTTTGGCGTCCTTTTGAAACCATCCGACATGAGTTTTACATTTTGCGGTGGACCCAAAATCAATCAACATCAGCCAACGGGGGCAAGATCGTTGGCGGTGTATTGGGTTGAAAGAGGGCTGCGCCTCCAAAAGTGCAGGATCCCCTCTTACATCCGGGACTTGTTTTTCTTCACCTCCTTCCGAACTGACGCTTTCCAAACTATTTCCTCTTTCGGAACCTCAAAAAAACTGGCTTCCTCGTTTGAAAAAGTTCGGACACCCGGATTTTGTCCGGCCTCAAAATTCAGAGATAGGATCCATCCAGCGCCGCCCCGGCCGCTTCATCCCCGCCCCCGAGCCGCGCGAAAAAACGCCGCCGAGCGCCGCTTGAGTCGATCCGAGGCGCCGTGACCTTCCGCAGCAGCGTGGGGACCTCCGCCTGCGGGCAGAGGCACTGAGAGCTGGTGCGGCTGGGCGACTGCTGGCCAGTGGGCCCAAAGACGCCTAAAGCGCGGCGAAAAACGGGAGCGAGGGCGGGCAACCTGAAGATTTGCTCCAGGAAGAAGGGGAAATAACATATGTGAATGAGCTGCCTTGCATTGGCTCCCGGATTCTTTGACATCAACACATGTGTTGGGATTTGATGCATCATTTGGGAAATGCGAATGTGAAGTCATGGCTTGGGCTTTTTCTTTTGATCCACTCGATGAACTGCATCGGTGCATGAGTTTTCACATGTCTGCACCCCCTGTGCGGCGAAGGCTCTTTCAGCCTGAGGCGCATTTCACCTCTAGAAAAAGAGAGCCTTGTGACCTGTACTGTCACTCAGCTCATAGCCCAGCCAGGCAAGATGGCCTCTCAGGATGCCACCCGTCTGGACTTTGGTCACGATGTTGGCGTCGTTCACCGCCTTCCCTTCCTCTCCGCCATGGCTTTGGCCGCAGAGCTGTCCACCAACATCTTCACCACCAGGACCTTCTCACCCATGTAGAAGGCCAGCACGTTCCACAAACTCGGCCAAAGTGGCCGTTCTGCACACGCCGTAAGCACTCGCTCTCGCGGCTGATCAGCACAACAATCTTCTGCGACTCTCACCATCAAAGTGCGCCCCCCATTCTTAATCACCGTCCGCGTCACCGACTTTCTTGACAGCGGGTCGCCAGCCCTATCACTGTCCGACCAAGCTCGGACTTCCATTTCTCTCAAAGGCTGCTGCCTGAAGGTCTTCTTAAGATAAGGGGGTATCTCACCACGCGCTTCAGCACCTTTACCGCGTGACCCAAGTCTGGATGGCCGTGACTCAAATACACCAGGCGCATTGTCATGCGCAAAAAAGTACTCGGGCATGCGCTCCTCCGCGCTGTTGCTCCTCGTCTTTGCACCTCCGCCCTTACCTCCTTGCTGCGGCTTAGGCCAGCAATCATTCTTCTTGTGGCCCTTCTTCCCACAATTGTCACAGTTGCCCTCAAACTTGGCCTTGCAGCTGTTGCACCTCCGCCCTTCTTGCCCTTCACGAGCGAAGCCAGGTTGCCGTTCACAGCCCGGACCAAGGAGTCCACATCCATCGGAGCCGCATCTCCCGCTACTGACTTGCTGAAGTTTTTTGAGATCATCAGCTTGCTCCCTGTCTTCGCCTCCATGTCGTTCACCACCTCCTGCTCCATTTCCTCGAAGGTTCTGAATCTCAAGTAGTTCAGCATGAGGTGTTGCTCCATCTCTCCTTCGGGACCAATTTCTCTCATGCATTCATAGAGAGGCAACGTCTCACGCTTGCCAAATTGATGTTTCTTGCAGTCCTATCGGCTTCGTAGGCTCTTCCAGCGTTCTTCTCATATGAACTTCTCTCTGGGCTTGTGAGTGCTTGGAGCATGATCCTCCTTCGCCCCCGTAGCCGGGTCGAACCTCCAAGCCTCCAGCCCAGCACCCTTCGGCGCGTTCTTCACCAAGTCAAAGACTGCACCCATGGTTGTTGCCTTGAGGATGGTGTACAACTGCTGGTTCATGTCGTGCACCTCATCCCACTCCCAAACTGGCGATGTCCGACGGCGCGATGGTGTTCTCCCACTCAGCCGCCAATTCCAGCACCTCACGTGTCTTGCCGCCGATGGCGCCCGCCACGTAGTCCTCCAGCTGCAGCGCCGAAACCCGGAACCGATCTTCCGCTCCGTCTCCAAGCACCTGCCTGCGGCTTTCCAAGGCCTTTCTGATCTGTCAGGCCGCCTCCTCCTCCAAGTCCGCGCGCAAGGGCAAGTCCTACAGAAGGACACGACAGAGAGGCGGTGCAGAAGAGTCCCAGCACTTTCAGAGGCTGGAGGGGTGGCCAAAGCCAAGGCGGTGGAGCTGCGAGGCGGGTGCCTTCACCTACATGGGGGGCTTCTTTGCGGCGGTTGGCTACTTCCTTGGAGAGGACGATGGCATCCACGCAGGAGCTCACGGTGGCGTTTGCAACAGCACAGCAGATGACGCAGTTGGCGCAGGACAGCCACGGACTCGCTGCAGGCATTGAGCCGATTGCCGGAGGTCCTGGACGTGCACAAGAGCTCCGCTACCATGAAGTCATGGTTTGGGCTCTTTCTTCGATGAACCGCATCGGCACATGACTTTTTACATCTCTGCAGAATTGCATAAGTCTGTCCTTTCTTTGAGGGAACCCTTCTTTTAGCTGGTTACCAAAAAAAGGAAACCCTTGCCATTTTGGGAGGTCACCCATAAAAATGAGGAATGTCATTGGCTCCCGGATTCTTGGGCGGGCATCTGTCAAACCACCTGTGCGGTGGTTCCCTATTAAAATTCGGAGCCAAATGGGAAACCAAGCCGATCCCACCAGAAGAACCAGGGTAAAGCTTGTCATGTCAGGCCGCAAAATGCCGAAGGTGAAAAACAGGTTCAAGGGAAACCCCGCCAAAAAACACACGAAACTCCAAAGCACCGCCTGTCTTGCACAAAAAGCTATTGGGGAAGGGCGCCTGCTGGCACCATGCTGCCGCTGGCAAGGGCTTTGCCGATCAGACGCCGGCACTCGCTCGCGGTGAAGAAGTCGTGCACCAGGAAGATGTGCGGCTGCCTCCTGCGAAGCAACAGTGCAGGTGCCGCGGTCGGCGGCCAACGACTGGGCCAGTGTCCTGGAAACACCCTGGGTGGAAACCATCAGGAATCATGGCGGCTGAGGAAATAGACAGACGACCCCTCGGAACCTGGAGGCTTCTTGACCACACAATGCTTCAACCGTCAACCACCGCCGATCCTCACAAGCTGCAGCCCGGGGTACGACGAGTTGATCTCGTGGAAGCCGCCTTCCACTCCTTGCATGGCAACATGGAGATGCAAGGCCAAGCTTCTGGAGCCACAAAAAATGGACAAAAATAGGAAAACCAAAAGGATCCAAAAGGTCGATTCGCTTTGGGCAAGCGAGGCTCCCAGCTCTGGAGCCCTCCTCTCTACGTGCGGAGACCGCAGACATCGGGCCCAGCGAGACATGACACTGAAGTCAATGCAGTCGTGGCCGTGTGGTTGGCAGAGTGCTCTGAGAAAATCTTTCGTGATGGGCCCTTCCGACCACGGAACGGCATGATCCAGATAGCATCGGCTGCGCTGTTTTTTTGGCGTCTGGGCAGGAAGGCGGCGGCGTGTAGATGCGGCGGCAAAACATGCTATAACCCCCCACAAACGAACAAAAGACGGACTCTTTTCACCTCGGCCCGCGCAAGCTCAAGTCCACGACAATGGGCCAGTGATCCTGAGACAAAGCGCTCTCGGCAAATCAAGCCCGCAGCATTCAAGCAAGCCTCGTCCATTTGCGGTGGCAGCCTTCCGCTTTCGAAATCCGCCACATGCTGCCAAACAGCAGCAGAAGCCCTGGGGGCCGGGCTTTCTGGGGGAAAATCGCGACCAGCGAGCCAACCCCCAACAAAAAGATACACGCCCCTCCACCCCGCCCCCCCCCCCCCCACCCCTCCCCCGCCCTTCTCCGCGGCTCCGAGGGCCAGTGGCCGCCCTGCATCAGCGTGGGCAGCGGCGCCGGCGCCGGCGCGCTGCGCAACAGACGCCGCAGCTTCGCCCGGGACGGCAGCGGCAGCCGCCGCACCAGTCCAGGACCTCGCTCGTGAATGGCCGGATCTCGTCCTTTTCTGGGGCTCCTCAGGGAAACCAACATTTCCAACTCCATTTCAACTTGTGAAACACTTGGCATCTTTTGCTGAGCAAAACGAAAAGTTTTTGCATGTGGAAATGGAGGCCACACATGGTCAGCGAAAGCTTGAGCTTTCGGCTGGTGAAACTTGTGAAAGGCCAAGAAATCTCGCAAAAAATAGCATTACCCGAATAGGGGAACCCTGAAAAAGGCTTCCACCACAGGGGTACCCTGGCAAAAGGCTTGCCGAGTTGTTGTTGCGAATAACCAGCAACCGCTTTCCTGTCGCTTCAGCCAACAAACGGCGAAAAACTAAGCCAAAGAACATGTGTTGTTGGCGCTCGAACAAAGAGCACCTCCCCCAAACCAAAAAAAACAGAGGCTTGCCTGAGTATGAGCTAGCTGGTTTCCTAAAGGTGACGGAATATGGTTGCAGCCTGCTTCTCGTGAAAGCCTTCAAGAGTTTTGGTGAGCTGCCTCTGGAAAAACCGGGATGGGCCAACAGCAGCACCGGGACCTCTTGAGCTTGGCGGCTCCACGAAGAAGGCCGCGTTCCCAGGAAGACAAGCCACTGAACAAAGCGAGCCCTTCTCAAAGACTTGGCATTGCTGCCAAGCAAAAGAGCCACGTTCCACCTTCAAAACAAAGGCGTCCTAACGCAACTAACCCACCTTGCGGACGCAGCCAGCAGTAGTCGATGATCCTTGGCGCAGGGCGTGCTTTCAACCCAAGCCGCACCGCTCCCCATCTGGACAACACATACTGCGACTCCGTAATGAAAACCAGGTTGAAGGCTTTCCAAGTCGCCCACCCACGATTATCACCACCACCACCACCAACACCACAAACACCACCACCACCACCACCACCACCACCACCACCACCACCAACAACAACAACAACAACAACAACAACAACAACAACAACAACAACAACAACAACAGCAACAACAGCAACGACAGCAACGACAGCAACGACAGCAACCACAACCACAACCACAACCACAACCACAACAACAACAACAACAACAACAACAACAACAACAACAAACAGCAAACAGCAAACAACAAACAACAAACAACAAACAACAAACAACAAACAACAAACAACAAACAACAAACAACAAACAACAAACAACAAACAACAAACAACAAACAACAAAC